ACATATCTTCTTATTTTATGGTGGCCCACAAAGAGCCCAAGTCCACCATTAATAATTTCAGTTCACACTATGAATCTGCTTTTTGAAGGAAGTCTCCTGGTAGCACTAATCTATCATGCTCTGGTAGTATAACAAAGCAGTATTGGAGAGTAGAAAGCCAATTAAATTTTCTTTTTTTCCTGATAAAAGTAAACTGGAAGATGCAGCCCATTAACACACCAAACTGCCCCTGAGTGTTAAGGGGACTCAGTACACAGCACCAGAACAGAACTTCTCTGAGATACCTCACCAAGTATCTACAGTGTGGGTGTCAGTTTGTCGGCTGGAGAGACACAGCTCTGCAGGTCTGTAACGAGTCTGTGCAAGTTCCTAACACACACACACCCTGCAATGGGAGGGCAGGGGACAACGGGGCACATTGTCACAGCAAACTACGCGGTACAGGTGATGTCATGCTCGGCGTGGCCGGTCTTATCCTGCAAAGAGGTTACACGGGAGACTCGCCACTGCTGATTTCCAAACCTGAGAAGAATAAAAAGGCCAGGCCAGCTGAGAGACCACCAAACCTCACCCAACCCTGTGATGCGAGCGCCAGGCGAGGCCCTGGGACGCTCCCCGAGCCCGCCCAGCCTAAGGCCTGGGTACTGCGGGCATCACCGGGCCAGAAGCAGGCAGTGTCCCGCTCTGCGGCCTGCTCACACCGCCAAGCGACACAAAGGGGTCCCGGCTCTTCCCCGCCGAGGATCGCGACCCCGGGTCCCCGCCGCTATCGGTGGCACGCCCGGGACTCGCCGCCGTGCCCAGCCCCCGGCGCCACCCTCGCCCCTCCTGCGCTCCCGCTGTGGGAGGGTCCCGTCCTTTCCCCTCCCCACCCCCCGCTCTCGTTGGTTCCGCCCGAGCCGGTGCCCGACACAGCCCCGTTGGTTCGTTCCGCCCCTCCCCGTCCCCGGCACTTGGTTCAGCCCGAGCCCCCCGCCCTGTCGCCTACAGCGGCCGCCCCGGCCCCGCTCCTCACCCAGGGACATGTCGATCTTCTCCACGCTGTCGCCGCCGCCGTGCCGGGCCCCCGCCGCGGCCGAGGAGCCCGGGAGCGGTGCCGCAGCCCCGAACGCGTTCATGGCCGCCTCCCTCACACCGGACCGCCCCCAGCCGGGCTCGCGCATGCGCAGCAGCTTCGCCCAGCCCAGAGCACAGCCGCCCGCGCCGGGGAGCGGCGTAGCGCCCCTCTGGCAGCGCGCCTCCTGGCGGCCGGGAGGAGCAGGTACAGCGCCGGGGGGCGACGGCGGGGGGCGACGGCGGGGGGCGACGGCGGGGGCGCGGGTCTCGCTGTGTGCTGGCTTCCAGAAGCGGCGTCTCCAGGGACAGTGTCCTTGGGAGGAGTGAGTGGCACACCGGCCCGGCCCGGGGGGTGGCGGGGGAAGCGGAGCTGCCGGCAGGGTGCAGGGGGATGGAGGACAGGACAGTTCTGCAGTAGGACACGGAGTCCTGGGCTGGCTGCAGACTGCTGGGGGCTGAGGGGGTCACGGAGGGGCTGGATGCATGGAGCACCTCTCTACGAGGACAGGCTGAAAGATTTGGGGGTTTTCAGCCTGGAGAAGAGAAGGCTCCGGGAGATCTCATTACCGGCTTTCAGTACTTGAAGGGGCCTCTAGGAAAGATGGGGACAGATTTTTTTGCAGGGTTTGTTGCGATATGACAAGGGGTGATGGCTTTAATCCAAAAGAAGGTCGATTTAGACTGGATATAAAGAAGAATTGTTTTACGATGAGAGGGGTAGAACAGTGGCACAGATTTCCAGGGAGGTGGTGGATGCCTTACCTCTGGAACACTCAAGGTCAGGTTGGATGGGGCTCTGAGCAGCCTGATAGATTTGAAAATGTCAGACCACCTGACCTCTAAATATCCCCTCCAATCCAACCATTCTGTGTTGCAGGGCAGGGAAGGGTGTTCAGCTGAGAAGTTGACTATGAGATGCCTTTGCCTGTGACCCCCCATGCAGTTGAGAGAAATAATCTGTTCTGTGAACAACAAAACCAATGCAGGGTGGTTTTGAGCACGATTATGTTTTCAAATGTCAAACAGCAGAGTTCAAACTAAGTTCTTATTTCAAAATACCATGTGAAGCTTAAAATTACTACTTAAACCCAGAACAGTGTGTCCATAGTTTGTTCTCTTTGGGTTCTTTTCAGAGTTGTTATCTTTGCTAGTTTTTGGTCAGAATCATGTGATTGAGAAATTCAGAAGAGAAATTGTTTTTTTAACAAGGAATCTAGCAAAACCTTTCCCTGCTGCCTGTACATTTGCATTCCTTGGAGCTGTGGTATTGGTGGGTCAGCAGTACACATGTGCCTAATGGCTAAACAAGTTACATATAAAAAGGCTTTTTTTACACAACAGCACCTCCTTCATTTGACATTCTATTACAATTAAGGGATAGTAATTATCTCTGGAATCTCTACATCTTGCTCGTGGTTGGTTGAAATTGGTCACTGAGTTCCAGAGACAGAAAAGGAAGGAGCAGATGGACTGACAGGGTGATCTCAGAGGACGAACTTCCTGCAGAAGCTAGGCAGTAAATGCTGAAAAGAAAACCCACATCTATTTCCTCTGGTCACAATGGTCACCTGGCATTACTGTCCACACCTCCCTGAGTTTTCTGTGGGAGCTGAGCTGTCCTAAAGGTGGCATGCCCAAAGGACAGCTTGTTTTAGGCTCTGCCTGCTTGCCTCCAGAGGGGGAGCTCCATACCAGACTGCAGGGACTGTATTCCAAATGCCCTTGGGTCGGGATAATTATTTCCATACGTGACCTTGGACACACCTCTTTGCAGCGGGAACACTCCCACATTTCTTTCATTGCCCGCATATTCCATCTGTGCATTTGCTAAAATAAACACTCTGTGGCGAGGGCAATATCCCGAGAACCTGACACACAACGAGCTCCCGTGCCTGTAATCCCTGTCACAGCTCTGTGCTGCTGTGCTGGCAGCTACCTGCACTGAAATACTGTGCAGGACTTAAGGATGGGAGATCTTTCCAGGAGTGTTACCATGAAAGGCAGGAATCAGAGCAGTGAGTTCAGGCTTTCTGTCCTCAGCTGTGTCCTGTGCTGCAGACTGGTGGCAAGGCTTTGCTCTCTCCATTTACACTCTTAATCCATCTCTTTTTAATTAAGGCCAAAATGTGTTTCTGAATGTTCCTCCTGCTGCTTCCTATTGTCTAGAAGAGAATGGCTCAGTTACTGTCACAGGACACCTCCAGCTAGTGAAAGATTTTCCCTTCAGGCAGGAGAAACTCGTGACCACAGGGCTGGAGGCTGACAGTTCCACCCTGTTTTCTTCTCTGCGCTCTCCATGGGGTGCAGAAGTTCAGACATGGAGTTTTGGAGCCACAGATTTAAAAACTTTTGATAACATTTTCCCCCAGGTGAGATTGGATGACAAGTGATTGATGATGAGTAGGAGGTTCTTACAATCAGGCTCCGTTTCTAAAGCAAATATGCTATTGCTAGATTAGCACAAACTACTAAAAATAGAGGTGCCAAAAGATGAATTTTTGAAAAAGCATTAAGTCAAATTTCCATGAGGCTGTAGGGTCCAGCTCCATCTGGGCACTGTGTCACACCAAAAAACAAATGCTCTGTTTACCCCAAACACACACATGAACTGCAAAGGTGGCAGATGCTACCTGTCCTCGTGACAAGTGGAAATCAGACAAAACCCAGATTTTACCATATCCACAAGTTGTGTTTGTTATACAAACAGGAGGCCAGCTGTCTGCTGCTCAGCACAACAGAAAACCAGGCACAAGTTGTGATCCTGAAGAGTATTTTCTTTCTGTGTTCAGAATGGCTGGGGATCACGAAGGCAACCATGCAAACATCAGCCCTTGGTTTGCTGTGTGGATCTCAGGAGTGTGTCAGCATCCAGCCAAGTGACAAAGCTTCCACGTGGCACTGAGAGCTACAAAGAACTAAATTAGATCTGTTAGTTTTATCTGCATGCTCCATTTCACCAGGCATGATCATCTAACAATCACAGTAGTCCGGATGACTTGATTTCCTCCAATATGTTCAGTGTGGGAGTCAGCACAGTCTGATGCCCTGAGACCTAACAAGCCAGGCAGTGGTTTCAATCAGTGCAGTGGGCTCTGTGAGAGAAATTTCTGCCTGACAACTGGACTCAAGTTGTTGTTCCACACTTGTATACAATTATGATGCATGAGGAGTCCTGGTCTCTTCATTAAGCACCTTCTGAAAAATACGTTATTGTTGTTATTATCAAGAACAGCAGTACAGAACCTTGTATCCCTATGTGCTGCAGAAGTACAGTGCTGGTAAAATAAACCACATAGAAAATGTCAAGGGGTGCTTTTTCATGTATGCAGCATATAGTTATAATTCCAAGTAACAGTTACAGGGAATTTCCATTTTACAATGCCTGGCTTTGGTTTCTGAGGCATCAGACAACTCCAGAGACATATCTAGGTTTTATGTCTGATAATAACTTGTCATTGACTGTTCTCAGTCGAAAGACAGCAGCATCACTTTTTCCTTTTTGAAGTCTCATTTCACTGCATTTCGGTGGAAGGCACATCTTACTGGGCTGTATTTCTCACATCCTCCTCACAGTGGGCGGCAGAGCAGAGCCCTCTGTCTCTGCAGGTGTCATCAGCGATGAGCTGTCCTTCTGGGACACGTTGTTTGGTTTTTTTTCCCCCTTGCCATCGCATTTTCCTCATCACGTCCAAGGCAGGATTTGGTGAGGGTTATTTCAGCAATCATTGTGCTTTTTCCCAGCGCTTTGAACACGGGGGGCACCGAAAGCTCCGGGGCGGTGGAGGCTGCAGCGGTCAGCCCGTCATGGCGGCCGAGCGCCGCGGTGCACGCTGGGAGCTGTAGTCCGCCGCGGCACTGGCTGCGCCGCGGAGGCGCGGTGCGCGCCGGGAGCTGTAGTCCGTGGGTGCGGCGGGGCGTGGCGGGCGCTCGCCCCTCCCGCGCGACGGTGTCGCGGTGGCGGCGGCGGGGCCGCGCGCGCCCGGGATGGACATCGGGCCCCACGCGGGGCACGCGGAGAGCCGGTGGGGCCGCGCGCGGCGGGACACGCGCGGCGGGAGGGGCGGGCGCGGATGTCGCGGGGCCCGGCCCGCGGGGGCGCCCGTGGGAGGCGGGACACGGGGCGCGGGTGTGGGGCGCGGCGGCAGCGCCGGGCGGCGTGGGTGCGCCTGGGGGCGGCCCGGCGCTGTGCGTGTGCACGCGTGGGGGGGCCGCCCTCCCGTGTGTGTGTGTTTGTGTGGGACGCGGCGCGGAATGTGCGGTGGCAGCAGTGCCAGCAGTAGGGATGGATGCGCGGGGGATGCTCCTGGAGAGCTCGCGTCCTGCGTGGGTGTGTGGGGGTACCTGGGGGCGAGCAGGCAATGAATAAACCTCTCGCGAGTGGGATCGCTGCTTGCAGAGCGTGACACTGCCCCCGGCTCGGTGCCTCGTGGGAGGAAGCGCACAGCGGGCCGGGCTGTCAGAGCCGTCGCCCACCCGCGGCCGCACATCTCTGCTCACTGCCGTGGGAAGGAGCCTTGGCCGCTGGAGGGGCCGTGATGGCCGCGGATGTGACACCTCAGTACCCCGGTGCTCTGTCCCCACTGTATCCCCAGTCAGCCATGGCCAGCACAGCAGCTGCCAGGTCTCTGCTTCACAACCTTGAGCTTAAGGGTGAAACCACCCCGCCCTGACGCCGTGCTGCCACCCTTCAGGTGGCTCTGCAGCTCGCTGCTCGGGGATCCTGTCTCCTGGCCTTCCTGGCTGCATCCCCTCTTCCAGGTGCTGAACAGAAATTCCTTTATTTATCTCTTTTTCCTGAAGGTGAGGCCCTGTGTCTGCACATGGCTGGTGGTGAGCACGGTGACCTCGGCTGTGTGGTCTCATATGTGCTTCAGGCCTGGCTTTTTTGTTGGCATTTATGAGCAGCAGAGGCTGTTCCCTGGAGGTGTTTTGGTGGCAAGTCCTATTTACTTCACATTTTTACAGGTGCATTGGTTTTGCCCTGGCACTCACAAGCATAGGGTAAATGTTGGATGGAAATTGGAGGTGTTGGCTGGGGAGGAAGGAACAGCTGAAACTTGATATGGGAGAGAAGCATTCCTTATCTGAGGGGCTCAGCCAGTCACTCTATTCCTGCTTGCCATATCAGCTCGGAAATGCTACCAGTGCTTTTAAAGCTATAGCACAGGTTTGGGGTGCCTTCTGATCTGCACAGTTCAAGCTGTGCTCCCTCTTTACTAATGCTTCAAACTCAGCAGGTTCCAAAAGGTAAAAGGAATTGACTGCATTCACTGCTTTGTCTTTCCAGGCTCGTCTTTGTGCATTTTCTTGCCTTTGCTAGCACAAGTCCTGCACTACCAGACTCTGCCATCGTGTGACTAATAGGGCTGGGGTGGTGCCACCCCCAGCACTCCCCCAGGGACAAGGAGGGCATCATCCCCCGCTGGTGCTGGCACAGGCAGGAGCCTGCCTGTTCTCCTGGCTGGCACTGCTCCCTGGGGAGGATCCAGCGTGGGCCTTAACCTGTCTTGTCCTTTGTGTGATGTGGTTAGCATTTTTATTGCCAGTGAGGTGCCATTTCACACTGGATTGTGGCTGTTACTGATAGGGAATAGACAGATCACTGGATCCATCTTCTTGTGCATTACAGAAACTGCAGAAACAAAAGTTATTTTGCTGAAGTCCATCCTTAAGCCAGCACAGGAGAGGACAATGAGGATCCTGTGCTGGATTTCTCCTCCTAGGAGCAGGTCTGAAATGCATCAAGTGGAAGTGCTATAATGCTGATATCCAGGGAGGACATTGTCCTTGGAGGCAGGAGGGCCAGTGCTGTCCTGCTGGGCAGAGAGCTGGGCTCTGGGGTGGTGCAGAGGACACAGCAGTCCAGGGGGAGCAGATGGGCCAGTGGTCAGCTGGGCAGGTTAGCAAGGAGCTGCCACCTTTGTCTCTGGTGCCAGCATTACCCTCAGGGACAGCAGGGCCAGAGGAGAGGGTTCCTGAAGGGAGCCTGTGCTGTGAGCAGTGGAGGGATGTGAGCAGCTGCTCTCAGAGTGGTGGGCTGCTGTGGGGATCTGCTCTGCCTGTCACTGCCTCTGGCTGCCTGCATGCTCATCACAGGCAGGTTCTGTGCAGATTGAAGCCCGATGGACAGTACCCTGTGTCCACAGGTTGTGGTCATCTGCTTGTGAGAGACTTAGCCAGATGGGCAGGTAAAGCTATCTGCCGTGGGAAGGTTAAAAAACACCTTTAATCCCTGTTTTCTTGCCTCATCCTTTGCCAGTGCAGAGCAGGAATGCATCAGCCAGCAGCTCCTCTGGGCTGTGTTTGCTGGGGGCACCTTTTGTGGCTGTGCCCCCGTTTTCCATCAGTGCCAGCTTTCAGCATGGATGTGAGTTCCCCTGCGTGTCCCTTTCCCAGGCAGCCCGCTCAGCTATTCCTGCCCATCGCTGCTGGGCTGGCAGAGCCCTCCTGGCTTCCCCTGCCTGTCAGCCACTCCTGCCGCTGCAGATGGATTGCACGGAGCCTGCCTTCATTCAATCCCTGTTCCCAGCAGTGCCGAGCCCCGAGGAGCGGGCGGGGGAGCCCAGGGAAGGGGCTGCTGGTTGTCTGGGAGATCTGGGGACAGCGAGGCTGAGCAGGCTCTGCGCAGGGCGGCTTGGTGGAGCCTTGCAGGAGGAGCTGACAGCCAGCACGGGAATGAGTGTCCTTGGGGATTTGTCAGAAGTCCCTCCATAACCTCAGCATCCCTAGCACAGCCTCTTTAGTGTGCTAAGAAGGATCAAGAGAGTCTTCCAGGCGGAGGTCAGGATTCAAGCAGGCATTGCTGGATGCTTCCTGCAGAGCACAGGAGATACACAGCTGGTGATGGTTGCAAGGAAGATGGGCTTCATTGTTATTTTTCAGTTTTTACCACTGGCTACCTGTGTGATTCTGTTTTGGAAAGTAATCAGGGTTTGGTTTTATTTTAAGCTAAGAAGTCAGCAGCATGGCTCCCTGCCTCTGCTGTGAGTCACGTTTGCTGACTTGGACCAAGAGAAGTTCCTACCCTTGCTGGCATGGAGGGGCTGAGGAAGCCTTGGAAGAGCAAGCAGCATTTCCTGTTGTCAGCAGTGGCAGCATTAAGCCATTTTTTGCTACAAGGCTAGCAAAAAATATTCTGTGTTTATTTATATTCTGTATTCTGTGTTTTATCACTGCAGTGCAAGAGGTTCAGTTATGTTTGGGACAGTTCCCATTGACAGGTTGATGTTGCTGTACTTGAAGATGGAGTTTGTTGTGGTAAAGAAAGGAGACCCAGTGCCAAGTTTGTGGAGCTCGTGGTTGAAATTGGAGGCAGGATCAGAGGTGTCTTTAAGGGAGGAGAGGGATGCAGCTGAGATCTCTCTGCTGCTCCATGGCCCCTGCAAGTACCCTTGGTCCTTCTGGCTGGAGGAACCAAGCTCTGCTGGATCAGGAGAGCAGAACCATGTGTGGTTCTTGCAGGGGTAGCTCTGGGCTTGCTCTGTGACCCTCTGGGGTATTGCTCACTTTGCCTTTATTGTAAATTGGGGTATTCTCACGATGTAATATGAGTTGGCCTTACCCCATGCCAGCCTTTCTGTAGCACTAGCAAAGGAGAATCCTCCTTGTTCAGGAAAAAAAGCAGATTTCTTAGTAATGCTCTGAACACCAGCAGAAAAGGGAACTTGGGCTTTCTCCATCCCTCCTGGCATCTGAAACCAAGGCTCTGTCAGTGGGAGGGGAGAAACGCTGCTGCTAATTCAGGGTTGCCCCAGGGTCCAGTCAAAGCTGAAATGTGGTTAGCTGTGCTCTCTCAGTTTCCCTGCCACCTGCAGCCAACTATATGGGTCCTCATGTCTTTAGCCTTGTGTCCCTGTGTGCTTTTCAGTGTTCCAGCCCAGAAACAGCTGGGGTTTGAGTATCAGAAAGGTCTTGTGTGTCTAACTTGTGAACTGCTTTGGGCCAACAAATCCCATAGGATACTCACTGTCCTACCAGGACTTAATTCACTTTTGGTGGATTCAAGATCACCTCTGAAAAGGTGCTTTAATTATGTGGCTTATTCTCTATGTGCTTCTGTGTTCAATGTTTTAACATCCTGAGACTATTTTGTTCAAGGATTGCTTTCCCTTAGTTTCCCCATGCTAGGAAGGAGCCATGGATCCTGGTTTCTACCTCTTGAGATGCACAAGTCCTTTAATGAGAGCAACCATTTGGAAAGGCACATCCCTGTGTGTGCTACCCACACATCCTTGTGTGCATCACCTGTTTCTTATAGCCTGAAATAACATGGCAGGGAGTTCCCCTGACTCACTGACTGCAGTATCAGTGGCGTGGCTGAGCTTTCACTTGCATTTCCTAACTCTGAGTGTTGGAAATACCTTAGGGAGGAGCTGCTGGTGCTCTGAGCTCAGTGGCTGCAGGTGCTCTTTGACCAGGGACTGCTGATTCCTCTCTGGGCATCCACAGCCAGAGAACATCTGCACTGCTCAGGGCAAGGATGGGAAAAGCACATAAATTCAGCAGAGCTGGATCATTTTTGGTGTCCTCCCAAGCTGTATCTCCTTCAGGAAGCTGCCTGTGATTTACATCTGTGCATTTTTCTTCAGTCTCTTCTGAGATAAAGCCCCATGCCTGTTAGTTTAAGTACAACATGATCATATACATGCTGCCACATGCACTGCAGGTCTGGTTTAGGGCTGTGGTGCTGTCAGGGTGACAGGCTTGGTGCTGGGATGGGTTGGCTCCTGTGTGGTTTAAGCTTAGGTGGGCACTGGAAGTGGTGATGTTTCCCTCATGAGGAAGTGAAGTGAATGGGCAGCTTGAACTAGAGCCAATAGTTAATGATGAATTAATCTGCTTGTTCAACTAGTCAGTTTGGCAGTAGTGAACAAGTCTCAAAAAGAATATTGGTGAGAAAAACTTTGTTTTAATTGTGAGTATGTGACCCACACTTTGATCCCCAAGGGATGAAAATGAGAGCAGTTTTCAATAATGTTATTTATTTGTTTTCCTTCTTTCCCCTTGTGTTTTGAAAATCCAGTTCGGTTTTGGCTGTGAGAGGGACTAACTTCTGAAACACCGTCTTGTTTGTTGCCAGTTGAAAACTTGAACTTTCATGCTAGCGTGTCAGTTAGTGCTTTTGTTACAAACTTTGCAGAGACCTTTGTTTTTTTTGTTGTTTACACTCCTGACTGTACCTTGCAACATTCCTGTTCTTCTGAGAGAGTGGCTCCTATTTGAATATGTGTTTTTGACAGCTGCTGTTCATCTGGCAACATGGTCAGGCAGCTTGAGTGGGAACCTCAGTCACCCAAAGCTTCCTTCCCCAAAGCTGTTTTTCCATAGTCAAATGATGTTACCTCTCTACTCCATTGCTCCTGCTTTGTGGTAGAAAATGGTGATTTCTTGCTGTATGCAGGGCCGCCAAGGGGGATGATACTGATGAGCTGTTGTGCATACTCCAGAGCTCAGCAGCAGTTTGCTAATCTCTGTCCATAAGGTGATAATGTTTCTGCAGGTTGTGCCTACAGCAGGTGAGGGCCGAGAGAACAGCTGTGCAGCTGGAGATGCAGATGAGGTGTCCCCTCCCTGGGAGAGGATCACCTCTGCATCCTGACAGGACTGGAGCTCTCAATGTGATGTGCATTGCTCAGGGAGTGCTGCTCTGTAAGCACAGGGCCTGCTCGGTGTGGTGGCCCTCACACCCTTCCGTGCAGCTGCTGTGCTCCTGAGGGGCTGCTGCTCTCTTAGGGAGAACATGTCACTGGAGCAAGAGCCTGCTAGAAAGTTAATCCCCAGGTTTTTTGGCCCAGACTGGGCATGTGGTGCATTGCAGGAGCCATCAGTCTGTTCTGTGTATCTCCTGGTGGTGGCTGCCACTCATCAGAAGAATCATTACACTGTGGCCTATTGTCCACAAACCATGTATGGGACACCACAGGGATGCACCAAGTGCTTCAGCTCACCTTTCCTGGTTTCTGGACCACCAAAGGTTTCAGCCTGAGCAGAGTTTCCTTTGAGAGAGTGCAATACCATGTTCCTGTTGTGAAGTTTCTCTTGCTGTAGCTCTGATATATCTTGCTGTGTTCCTGTGCAGGAAAGAGCACTGGAAGCTCCTTGGCAACTTGAAGACCACAGTGGAAGGTTTGGTGTCCATCAGCAACCCAAATGTCTGGTCCAAGTATGGTGGCTTGGAACGGCTCTGCAGAGACATGCACAGCATCCTCTACCATGGGCTCATCCATGACAAGGTATGGCTCTGTCCTGACAGCACGACTGTCTGTCTGTCTGTCACAGCTTCAGAGCTGTCATAAGCAGGTGCTGCAGCTCACTTCTGTGCTCATAGCAGAGTGGGCATAGCACTTGTAACAGGCTGGGAAGTGATCCAAGCAGGGGCTGAGCTTGCCTGGTAAATGCTGTGGCTGTCAGAGTGCTTTCTATCTCATCTACTTCCAATATGGTTTTTCTAAGTACTTGTGCCCCCTGTGCTGAGGCCAGCCCCTCTCTCCTTCCTTTCTGCTGCAGCCAAGTGATTAAATTGCATTTGCAGTGAGTCAGCTCCATATCATCTGCACTTGGACAAGTCCCCAGCGAGGGCTGGCAGGAGAAACTCTCATCTTCCCTGTTTCTGCTTAGCTGTGTCAGTAACAGGAGCTGGCAGCCAGCCCCGCGCTCTGCGTGAATGGGATCACTCTTTCCAGGCTCTTGTTGTGCCTGCAGTTGCTCTCCCAGCCTTCCCCGCTTCCATGGCTGCCTGGAAGAATTTCTCTTTCCCACTTATGTGCAGAGGCTTAAAGATCTCCCCTTCAGCTTGCAATTACCAGCACAATTTGTTGACAGTGGAAGGCTGAACAAGGCTGTAGGGCTTGCCTGGGGACAGGCATCCCATCAGTGGCTCTGCCACCCAGAGGGAAGAGAACAGCACAGAGGAGCTCCAGGCAGCTTGCATGGGCCAGGTGGGTGCTAGATCAGGAAACTGCACCTATGCAGTGCTGCACCCAAGCTTAAAAGCCTCCAGGAAGAGCCAGACTGGCATGTTTTCTGAGCAGGGACCTTGGCTCTCTGGATTTATTAAGTTTGCAGACAGCATTAGTTGAGGTGCTGCTCTGTTCTTGTTGGTCCCCAGCTGCTTGGACCAGGGACCTGCCCTGGGAGGTGGCCAGAGAGAGGAGCTGCCTTGTCCATGTGAGGAGTGCAGTGCTCCCTTCTGACAGACCTGCTATGCACAGGCTTCAGGGAGTGAGGTTTAAATGATTTATGCTGGTCTGTCTGTTGGTAGCAGTTCATGCCAGACATGCAAAGCAGGGTGGTGTGTTACCTTCCTCAGTGCTTTTACTGTAGGCAAAGACAGCTCTTCCTCTCAGGAATGTCTCCTCTGATCAGGCATGTGTGACACCAATCAAGCTATAGGAGTTGCAAAAGGAGGCCCATAAAAATCCATCTTCCTAACAGCAGTTGGCTCATAGTTGCTCCAGCAAAACATTTCCGTTTACTTTTTATTTTCTTGGCAAGCTTTTTGCCTACAGTTGGGAATTGAAAAAAAAAGGTAAAAAATCCATATGTACACATTAAGAAAACTAGGGTAAGAGGTTTTTAAACTTCTGAATTAATTTTAATTAATTAATTTGTCCAGAAAACCAAATTCAGTCTAGAAAACTAAAATTGCCGCATTATGTTTTTAGTCTTATAAAACAAACTACTCCCCCACCAAACCAAATAAACCACCAAAACAGAAGCCATTCCTCTGTCACTTGTGAAAGAGGAAATGGGGATGGAAGTAAAAAGTAAAAATAATTAGCTTTTTGGTGAAGAGACACTTTTTGGGTCTGTGCTTACAACCAATAGGGTGAAGAGGAAAACAGAAACTCTGTTGCAGTTCCTCTCTGAGGGGAAGAATAACTAAGAGAACCCCACATTGTCTGAATAAAGCTGAGGCAAACAGCATGGCCTGTGTCAGCCAGGGGCTAACGGGGCTCTGCTCACTGAACTGGCACCTGGGACGTGGCACCTGACTGTGCTGTCCTGGCAGGTGTGCTGCAGACAGAAGGATTACTGGCACTTTGTGAAGGACATCCGCTGGCTGAGCCCGGGCTCTGCGCATCACCTGGAGAAGGTGGGTTCTGGGGGCGGCCTTGTGTGCCCACTGGGAGGGGACAGGGCAGCTGGGCTGGAGCCTCACCCGTGGGACAGTGCTGCCTGGGCTGTTGTGGGTAAAGCTGTTCCATGGCTTGTAGAGGCTGACACAGCCGTGGTTTTGGGTACAAACTGTGTCCTGGGAACTCAGTGTGGCTTGGGCTGAGACAATTGGCTGCTTATGCTGCTGGGCTGGGTGCAGCAGGCATCACCAAGGGAACTGGCACAAGCCGTGCTTGTGTGTGCACAGGGGTAATTCATGTGTCTGTGCAGATCTCTTAAGGGTCTGGGCTGTCCCATTTCTGGGTTTTGGCTTCACCATGCATTTATTCTCCCATTCCTGACTTGTGCCAGCCACTGGCATGTGGCTTCTGGTCCTCAGCTGCCCCATGCTGACATCCATGGTTCCTGCCATGGATGGGCACCAAGGGCTGGCCATTTATGCCAGCCCCCTTGGACACAGGGAACAGCAGTGGCCAGCCTGCTGCTGGGGGAATGGGGGTGTAACTCCAGTCCAGCTCTGCAAGCTGCAGCAGCTCAGGCATTGCCACAGCCTTTTCCAGTTAATGTGTCAGCAGGAAAATGACCCTCACCACCGGGGTCAGATTGGATTTGGGAGTGTGGGGTTGCTCCAGGTCAGGGACAAGACTCATGGGTGGGAGAGTGTGCAAGAGAAATTCATTGTGCTGGTGGCTGCCAGAGGACTTTGGTCACTGGCTGACCTTTGAAGCATTGTTCCTGCCTGGTGCTTTTGTCTCCCTGGTGGCTGAGGAGCTGCAGGGACATGCCCTTTCCTGCTGACAGTGACTGGCATGTGAAAGCTGCTGTTATCAAGGGGACCAAAGCCATGTGGTGGAACAAGCTCTGTTCCCCTTCTTGCCTCTGCCTGCCTTAACCTGTGCCTGATGTCCCTTTCCAGTTCATCAGCCTGCAGGAGAGTGGCCAGCGTGACCCCGAGGGCCCAGGGGACCAGGCCATTGCCCAGCTGTGGCTGCAGCACAGCCTGCAGTGCCACTGCCTGTCAGCTCAGCTCAGGCCGCTCCTGGGGAACCGGCAGTACATTAGGAAGTTCTACACAGGTAAGGAGAAAAAGGCCTTTTCCTTCTTACTAGGAAAATATCTAGCTGGTGGCATTTCCAAGCTGTGTGGGAGTGAGGGAGGACAGCAGAAAAATTGATTTGCATGTGAGCAACTGGTGTGTCAAACTGTGTGGGTGAGAGGGACTCCCCTGAGCAGCATTTTTTTCTCCCCAGATACTGCCTTCCTGCTCAGTGACGCCCACGTCACGGCCATGCTGCAGTGCCTGGAAGCTGTTGAGCAGAACAACCCCAGGCTTCTGGCTCAGATCGACACCTCCATGGTGAGTTGGGGTCCCAGATTTTACATCTGGCTCTCCCCAGATGCCAACTGGCTGTGGCTGCTCCCTCAAGGTCACCTTCAGGGTATGGGGACCCTTGGACAAGGAGCTGGACTTGGAACTAGTAAAAGTTGCTCCAAGAGGGGAGGAGAGTGGGGAACTGGTCCTTGTCCTGCCTGTGTGACCTCTAAGGGGTCAGGGTGGGGGAGATGGCTATGTGGAGCCTGTAGTGGAGCACCTTGGTTCAGGCTTGCACTAAAGATTTGAGTTAGAGGATCTGAGGACCAGTTCCTTGTAAGAGGCACCTTTAAAGCCCTCTCCAGGGCTTCAGGGCCAGCACGCAGAGCTGCCTGGTCTTGAGGGACAGTCATGCTCTTGAGGGGATGGGCAACGCCCCAGGACACCTGGGTGCCAATGACCCTGCTCATGCCAGTGACCCCTGTGCAGCCCTGCACCAGCTGCCCCTCTGCAGAGGACAGAAACAGCAGCTGCCTTCTTTGCACAGAGTCCCCAAAAGAGAGCAATTAGTGAGGCTTTGTTAAATGGAGGCTGTGTTCTTTCAGCTGGCTGGCACGTCACTGCCATCCCTGTGCGCGTCAGAGCCTTCTGCTGGGACAAGGGACATGTGTGAGCACAGTGCTGAGGGACACCAGAGCCGTCTGCCGGGAGCGCTGGGCTGCCTGGATCATTTCACTGAGAGCCTGGTAATTTCCCAGTGTGAATCTGTCCTGCAGCAGTGAACACAGAGCTGCTTCCCTTCTGTGCTGCAGTGTCTTCCCCTCCCTACCCTCGTGTTCGCATCGTTTGTGGTTGGTGACCTGGCATTTGCAGGTTGATCCCTTTCTGTTGCTGCTACATGTAGCCCAATAGATGCTGATTTATTGATGATGCCACCTCTCTTCAGCTTACCAGGAAAAGTGACAATCCATCTCCATCTCCAATGACCAAGAGTCAGAGCCTGACTGCCCTCCCTGCATCCCCGTGCGTCCCTGCTGCCCCCTGCGCTCAGCAGCGCTGCTTTGGGTCCTTCTCCAGCCTCCAGCATCCAGCCTCCTCTGGCCTCTCAGGTATCAAGGGTAGGCTGGGGAGCTCAGGGTAGACCCAGAAAAGACTTTATCTTTTTATCTGCCTATGTATCTGTTGGGGTGGATGGGTATGGCAGACTTCTGCCCATGATGGGAGGGAGGGATTTTCCTGTGGTGGGTGTGGTGGTGTGAAGCCACAGGCTTATAGCCATAGGATATAGGGGGCGTCCATGTGCCAATGTGTGAAATCATTCTCCTGCTTCTGTCCAGACAGGAGACCAGTGAGTTCCTGTGGCAGCTCCAACTCCACCCAGCCCCAGGAGCGCTGCCCGTCCACCCGCTCCTCCTCCTTCAGCGAGGGCAGGTCCCCTCTGGAGCAGCCCAGCTCTGCCACCCGCTTCCACGTCCCCTCACACAAAGACCCCTTCTCTCCAGCCAGCGAGATGAGCTCCAGCACCACCAGCCAGAGTGAGGATACTTGGACAGGGAGTCAGGATGATCCACAGAGTGACGTCAATGACGGGCCAGAGTACCTGGCCATTGGGAACCTGGGCCGCCGGGGCCGGGCGTGCAGCAGCAGCAGCAGCACCAAGAGCAGCAGCAGCTCTAAACTCTTCTCCTCCAGCAGCTCCCAGAAGCTGGACTCAGTCTCGTCCCTGGGGGAGCAGGGGGCAAGCGGAGGGGGCAGCAGGGGCCTGAGCCTCTTGCGCCGGTCCAGCTTCTCGGAGGGACAGTCCTCAGCTCCACAGGGCATCCTCAAGAAGAGCCACGTGCGCTCGCACTCTGACACCAACGTGACTTCTGGGAAGTTGCACGGTAATGGGACAGCTTTTCTGGGATGGCTTCTGGGTGTGGGAGTCCCTGGTACCAGACAGCTGGTGCTGGCCACCCGCTTGATTCCATGGATCACATTGGAGAGAGGGACAGTGGGCAAGTGGTTGGTCTTTTCCCTTAGCTTTTCAACTCTGCACTGGAATGATGGGATGACATCTTGCTTCCCAGAATGCCCTGGGCTGGAACTGTTACTGGTGTTGCCAGCTTTTACTAAAATAATAGAAAATGGCAGCAATGCTGTGGCATCAGCTGTTCTTCTCCACTGGGCTTGCTTGGCTGGGATATGGGACTGGGGCCTGGGCTCATCCTGCTGGTAGGATGTCATCCCACTGGTAACCTGCTGGGTTCTCCTGTGGTCTTGAATGAGTGAGTACATGGGGATGGAGAGAGTGGGGTGTGAGGGCACAACCAGTTTGTGAGAGTTTGTCCTGATGCTGCCTTCATTGGTGGAGTGGAGGACCTTGCTGAGTAGTAACCAGTCTGTCTCTGTTTTCTCTCCCTTAACGCTGCCCTTCTCCTCCTCTGCCTGCCCAGGAGGCCTCAGGGATATCACCATTATAATAGAAGATCCAGTGGCAGGTTTGGGAGCCAGTATAACAGCCCTTCATTAGTGATCATTGCATCAAGTTCAGGACTGCCATCAATCCATTAGTGTTCATTTAGAAAACAAAAAAAAAAAAATCTTTCTTTGCTGTGTCCCAGCTGATGCTTCGAAGTGTGGTCTGGTTTATGCATGTGGCCTGACTGAAGCTCCCAGCTTGGTTTGTGGAAGCAGTGGCCCAGACCCAGAAGTGTTTCCAGCTCCCCTGCATGGCGTTAGGGAGTGCTGGCCACCAAGTCTCTGAGCTGCATTCCCTGCCCTTCCCTTTACCCACTGCCTCAGAGGTCAGGAGAGGTTTCCTCTCTTGCCTAGCGAATAAGGGCTGTCAGCTAACCAGACATAGGCTTGGACATCTAATTTCTCCTTTTATTTCATGGATCTGTGGTACAGGGAGGTTTGATGTTGACTGATTTCCAGTGTATGTACCCACAGCTGAGACTCTGGATGATCTTTTGGGCTCAGGGCAGGTTTTACCCCAAGCAGAAATGATGGGGTGTTGCCATCCCTTTGGCCCATGTGCAGAAAAAGTCAGCAGCTCAACAACAGAATGGGCTGTTTTGTTTTGCATCCAGTGAACAGTGGCACTGGGTTTGTTGAGCTCACATCTGGGGGCTGAGGGTTCTGTGTCTGGGAAGGCTCCTCCCTGGGGCTGTTGGCTGTTCAGAGAGATGTGTCCAGCCCTGTGTCCTGGCCCAGCAGATGATGCTGAGCACTGCCTCGCTTTACCTTTCAGCAGTAGGCTCTGTTGTATGTGACATCCCCAGGCATCAACCCCATGAGGTGGTTTCTGTGTTGAGGTGGCTGCAGGGCACCCTGTCAGGCTGCAGTGAGTAGCTGTAAGAGTCTCCTACCCTGACAAGTCTCTTCCCTCCCAGCCTTTGGGGTGGGTTGATCCTAGGCTCCATCCTGGTGACTGCTGCTTCATGGCCTTGACAGGGAGAGGCTGATTTTGGTGGGCTCAGAGACCTCCAGCCATATCAGTCATGGCACAAAGCTGGGAGCAAAAGTGAGTGGGAGGTTGAAAGGACATGGTTGCCCTTCTATTATGCTCAGGATTGTCAGCTGGCACCTGCCCTGTGTGCAGAGCTGTGTGCTCCTCCCTCTCTGGCAGGGTGTTTCAGTCTCCTTCAGCAGTCCTTTGTCACCCAGGCACTCTGTCCAGGTGCTCCCTGGGGCCATGGCTCTCTGTGGAGCACCACCTGTCCTTGGGCTGTGCTCAGGCCAGCTCCTGGCGGTCTGCACTGGCTCGGTCTGGCGGGAGCTGCACCACAGAGCGTGCGAGGGGCAGAGCTCTGCCCACAGCCCGTGGAGATCACCTTGAGCACTGCTCCCAGGCTCCAGCGCTGTGTGGGGAGGCTGGGTACGGTGGAGCAGGAGCATGTCCTTCAGATGCCTCCTTACACTGGTGTCCAGGCTGCTTTGCAGGGCAGGGACCCCCACAGATCCTTTGGCAGCTCATGTTTCCCTGTGTCTCCTGTTCTCTGTTCTGGGGATAACTCTGCCCTCAGAATGCTCCCTCAGGAAGAAAGGGCTGGCAAAAGGTACTTGCTGGAGCCTGTTATGTCCCCCAACTCAGCTCTGGGGTAAATAGAGGAAGGCTCAGGATGTGACTGTTCCACGTCTCTCATGATCTTCTCTCCTTCATTCCCCTTCTCCTGCCTGAAATGCCTTTCTGGTTTTGTCTCCTCCTGGGCTTGCCCTCGGCTGTGGCATGGAGCAGGAAGATGTCTCTATTTCCATCCATTGTGCCTGCGTGTGTGAAGCCAAGCCCCTTTCATTTCACCCTGTGCAGTGGCAGGGCACCTCTGAGGTACTGACGTGTGCCTGGTGTCATCTTCCCTTGCAGAGTCCCACGGTGATCCCAGTGGAGGGAGAGGGCCGGTCTGTGCTTCCACGCAGAGCAGTGAACTGAGCACACCCAGCTCCCTCTACATGGAGTATGGTGAGTACAGCCAGCCCCAGGGGGTACACTCAGTCCTGGTCAGCTTCCTCCATGGGCTGCAGTGTCCTCAAGTGCTGGCACCTGCTTGTGGGATGCTGGCAGGGTGCTGGCAGGACTTGGTGGCACGGAGATAGCAGATCCTTCCCTCATACCTGTGTCCCTTGCATTTCTAGACTCTGGGCAGTACCTGAGCTCGGGGGAAGGGATGTTCAGGAGACCTTCTGAAGGGCAGTCCCTCATCAGCTACCTCTCTGAGCAGGACTTTGGCAGCTGTGCAGACCTGGAGAAGGTGAGGGAAGCAGCAGCAGCCTGTGTGCATTGGGAAATGTATCTTACTGCAGGTTCAGGGATGCTTCCTGCCACGGGGAGGAAAATGCCATGGTATTGCCTGTTGTAGAGCTTTGCACAGAACTGCAGGGCTGAGCTCCTTGGTGGGTCTGGTAGCTGGGATCTGTCCATCTGTCATATACATGGCAGCTTTGCAACATGTTAGTGCCCCTCAGGGCTGTATGCTGAACCCTCAGAGTGGATGTGTTGCACATCCTCTTTGTAGGATGCCTCTTGTATTTTATGGCTATTCTATCAGTACCTAGAAAACAAAGCCAAGAAGGCTTTGTTTTCTAGGTACTGATAGAAGAGTCATGTTTTGACAGAGATTAACATCTTTCTGCCACCATCCATGAGTAATAAGCTCTTTCCTGGCATAGGTGGGGAACAAAATTTTACCAAGTCTTCCTAGTTTGTCCAAGGCATAGCCTTGAATGCTTTTTCTCTTGCAGGAGAACGCCCACTTCAGCATCTCAGAGTCCCTGATCGCTGCCATTGAGCTGATGAAATGCAACATGATGAGCCGGCAGCTGGAGGAGGAGGAGGAAGACAGTGACAAGGAGATCCAGGAGCTTAAACAAAAGATTCGCATTCGGCGCCAGCAGATCCGCACCAGGCACCTGTTCCCTGCCTGCCAGGAGCTGGGCTCAGACAGTGGGTGATGTGTTCTGGGCTCATCAGCTAGTGGGATGTGGGTTTTCTGTCCATTGCCTATCCTATAGCTGCCTGCCTTCCTGCCCATTCCTTGGAAGCAGTTCAGTTGCTACCAAAGTGGTGCCAAGATTTGTGAAATTGCTGCTGTTAAAGACCATAATGTGACAGATACCATCCATTGATAACACTGCTGGCACTGAGTAATGGAATGTCATTTCATTCTGAACCCGTAGTGTTTTCCATCTTTGAGCCCCATCCCTCCTTTCCTGGCCATACCTATCTATCCCCATCTCCCACAGCTGTCAGTGCCCCTTTGGAGCACTTCAGTGGTGACCTGGCTGTGATGCCTTCCTCACAGGTCTCATGGCAACAGACAGTGGGTCCCAGTTCAGCTCCCACGGCTCCATGCGCCTCTCTGACTCTGGCTCTGCCGAGGATGTGGAAGAGTATGAGATCCGAGGTAGGAGGGAAGGGCTGTCTTGGCTTCTTCCATAGAAACAGACTTCTGGTGTGCTTGTGCTGGGGTCAGTCCTGCTGAAAAAGGCTCTGTCCCTCTGACCTTCAAGATGGCTTTTCCCAAACAAATGTATAAGCAGAGCACACAGAGCAATCTGTTTCCCTCATGTGGTGGCATGACTTTCCTTCAAAATCTTCTGTAACCCTGTAACATTCTGTGCCTCTGGCTGGTAGGTGGTTTCCATTTCATTGCCTGGTACACATAACTGTGGTCACAGCTAGAGAGGTGGGAGAGCTGCCATCCTCTCTTCTCCTCCCCAGGCAGAAGGAACCATAGCTCTGACCACTTACCTCTGGGATGGTGGGTATTGGTCACATCCTGACCTGCAATCCTGTAATCTCTGCTCCTGGCAGCTTGGGTGGCTGAGCTTATCACCCACAGGAGACCAGCCCAAGTCCCTGGCCTTCAGAGCCTTGTTCATCCTCTGAAGTGGATGACTTACTTCTCAGCAGTACCTCCATCTCTCTTAATTTAAAAAGAAGATGGAGTTGTCCAGTCTTCAGCTTTAGACTTCTTGTCTCCTCACTATTGACAGGAACCTCTCCTTTCAGTCCATGAGGGTGAGGTTTTGAGCTCAGTTTTGTAGCCCAGGGAGGAGTGTGTGAATTCAGTTCTGTGCTCTCCTTGTGTGAGTGCTGCTCTTGTTTTATGCCCTTTCTCTGTGGCCTGGCTGAAGCACTGAAGTCAACTGTTTTGTCATCACCATGTCATACAGATGGTAACGATGGATCTAACCTGATTCAAATGTCCAAGAACGGCCTCTCAGTGTCAATGGCTTCCTTGTTCTCAGGTACCCTGCGGTGCTCCTGGCACGCGCGCGTGTGTGCGAGGTGTGTGTGTGTGTGCAGGGCACACTTCTTCCAAACCTGCCTGGTTCACAACTGGGAATTACTTACAGTATCATCCAGATGTCAGCAAGAAAATCTGTGGAGGATTGAATAGAGTGGACTCAGAGGAGTTCTGCTGTGGGCTCCATCCCTCAGGGCATTTTGCCATGCAGTGTTTTGGATATATCAAAATGCCTGCTCTGTGAAGACCTCTCTTGCCTGGGGTAGGACTTCATAGGACAGTGAGGTTCTGTAGATTTTGAAGGCTGAGCCTGGGCTGAATGAGAGCAGAGTCCTCTTCAATGGGGGACCAGATCTCCATCCCAAGTGCCTTGGAGAGCATTATGCTGCTTGACTTGGCAGAGCTGGCATGCCATAGCTTTGATCTGTACCAAAGATTTCCTTTAGTCTCATGCTCAGACTTGACTTGGAGTGGAGTCCTTCTAAAAAGAAGTTCTGGAGGGAGAAGAAGTGAGATCAGACAGGGTGCAGGCAGTTTGTTCATGCAGGAGGTTTTGGTCACTGGGATCACATGCAGCTTAGTGTTTCTGTTGTTTACAGTAGTACTAGGTCTGGTCTGCTGGTGGTGTTTAAATAACCTTCATGTGTTCCCTGTTTGTTTTAGCAAGGGAACAGTCTGCTGGGCTGCTGCTGATCTCCACTGTCAGGTGTTCAGCACCAGCACGTTGCTCCTGCTGGGTTTGCTGCTGCTCAGATCTTTCCTGTGTTCACAGACCAGGCTGTGATTCTGGCTGAAGCTGGCACATGGGTGTGGGGTGATGTCCTTAGATTTGGGGGCTGTTCACAAACTTCCTGGGGACTATCTCACTTGACAGCATTGGCAGCAGAGGTGTTTTGGGTAGCTAATGAGGATTTGGGAAGTGTTTACAATTAATGTTGGGAAGCGAGCAGTGTCAGTATCCCAGTGTTAGCTCCTGTGGAAGCCTGGAGTCAGATCTGGCTCCCTCTGCCCTTTCTGAGACCTTGTCAATGCCTGAGTGTGCTGGCTCTGCCTCCCCATAGCACCTGGCCCACTCTGTGCTGTGTGTGCCCCCATGTGCTCGTGTTCATCGTAGTCTAGGGCCATGCAGGACCTTTCTGTGCAGAGCAGAGGGCACCAGAGCATGGCAGGTGTGTCTGGCTGGTGCCCTACAAGGTTGTGAGGCTGTTTGCCTGAGTTTCCTGTTTTCTGCAGCTAGAATTCAGTTTGCATGATGTAGATATGTGGAATCCTTAACATCAGGATGCTTTCCTGTTTTAGCAATGGATGTTGAACAATGAAGGTCAAATGTCCAAGCTGAATTCCAGTAGTGTGAGTCTGTAAATTAGCAGGACTTGCTCCCTTTGTTGCTAGGGCAGTCTTGCTCTCTGTAGAGAAGCTTGGGGCAGGGGGACAGTCTGCTCAGGCTGTGACTCCCTTGCATCACAGGCTCTGATTCCCTTGGCCTCACTGTGCAGCTGGGGCCTGGCTGGGATCCTGTGGGCTCTCTGCAGATTTGTGTTAGTCAGCCTGCTTGGGGTGCAGGAGCAGGGACCCTGAGCTGTGCCTCCCCATGCCGGGCACTGGGGAAGCTACAGGCTTTTGTTTGGGGGTGGTGTGGTCACTGCAGACCGTTCCTAGAGCTCCCCAGAGGCACAAACCAGCACACCTACTTTGATGAAGGTTGTGGCTTTGGCCTTGGCCTGTAGTACTTTCCCTTTACATACCTTCTTCCCTTTTCTGGGAGCCTTATCTGCCATGAAGCAGGTTTCTGCCTGCTTCTCTCTGCGTTGTACGACTGGAATTGTCCTGACATAGGGGTTTTCTACCATTGAGATGGATTCCCTGTTAGGGTTTAACCTGCTGGAGTGAGAGAATGATGAGTGGTGAAGGTTCCACTGGGTACTGCCTGGTACCCAAGCTGTGGGGCAGCCCAGGGCTCTTTGGGAGTTGATTGAGGGGTGTAGGGAGCAGGACTGCAGTGTCCTGCACCTTACCTTGGACCCTCCCTCCTCAGGAGATGGGTCTGTGACCTGTGCAGAGGGCTGGCCCCATGGCTGCTGGCCCTTTCTCTGCAGGGTGCTGCTGTGTCTGGGCAGTGCTGGGCACAGGCTGCCAGCCCTGGCTGTGCAGTCACTGACCAACTGTGCCATGGCCAATGCCTGGTCTCACAGGTTACAGTCAAATAGAGAGAAGGGCTCTACAACCCATTGCTAATCCCTTCCAGCATCTATACTGTGTGTAGAGAGCTACTAAACCTTCTTGCTAACCCTGCAGTCCTGCTCTCCAAGCTCCTGTGTTCTGTGTGTGTTCTATTCCAGGCCATGTTACTGCTAGGACTTGCTGTGTGACCTGTACCAGCAGCCACTTGTCTCCCCCAAACTTCAGGCTGCTCACAGCACCCCACCATGCCTTTCTCTGGTAGTTCTGACAGCTGATTAGACTGCACCCCTCCTTGCTGCTCTGTGCCACTGGTAGAAGTTGATGCTGTAGTTCTCATGCTTTTGAACAGCTTGATAAGTTTTACCTTGAAGCTTTGGTTTGAAGTGAGTGCATCCCTGGCCCTGTCCCATCTGTTCCACCTTGTCTGTTTGTGATTCAGATGCAGACATCAAGAGGAACCCAGACTCCAGCAGGAAGTCCTTTCTCTCCTCAGACTCCATGTACGTCTTCAAGCTCATGGTGACACATCTTGGTACCACATTCTCTTTCCTGCCCAGCTCTGCTCTTCCATGTGCATCAGTTTCTGTTTTGCACTGGAGTGCATCTCCCTCCCTCCTTCCCTCTGTGGGGACCCCTTTGCTTTCTGTGGTGAAGTACAAAGCTGTGTCCATGGTTGGCAGCTGCTTGGGTCGGTACATACTGGGAGAGCAGTTGTTTATGGCTTACACAGGCACTGGCTGTCACTTTGCTGCTACCCCTGTGAACAGGCATAGGTTTTGCCAAGTGAGTTGAGTTTTGAGCTCACTCTTCCGAACATTTGTTATGGTGCCATTAGCCAGCTTTGCTTGGACACATTTGCAAAGACAGAAATCAATCGTGTATTAATTTTAAACCTGTGTAGCAGTGCAGAATTAAGGTACCAGAGTGGAAGGGAGGACTTTGACTTGAGCTGGGGCTGGCATGGGGCTGCAAGGAGGGCACAGCTGTGACATCCAGTACTAACAATTCCTTTGCTGTCTAGATCCCACTCCTTCCTCAATTCAAACTCGGCAGAGGCGGTGGCCATGGGCTTGCTGAAGCAGTTTGAGGGCATGCAGCTCCCAGCTGCCTCTGAATTGGAGTGGCTGGTCCCTGAGCATGATGCCCCACAGAAGGTAAGGCTGTGAGTTCCTCTCACTGATTGCATTTGATCTTCCCTGAACCCTCAGCTTCAGGGCACTGCTGAGGGGGTTTGCTTGTCCCAGTGCTCTCCTTGTGGAGCTTGAGGAGGGGTTTTATCTGGGCTTTGGAGATGGATGCAGCCTCCTACAGCAGTGTCCAGGTCCCTGGGGGACAGCCCTTCTTCAGCCCCCAGTTCAGCTGAGGGGCAGCTTGGTGCCTGGCAGTTTTCCGGAGTGCTGCGGTTGCAGGTTTCTGGCAGTCCAGCCAGGTGCACTGCCTTTGCAGTTCAAGATAGGGATCTGACCCTCTTGCCTGCCTCTCCCAGCTGCTGCCCATCCCTGACTCTCTGCCTATCTCTCCTGACGATGGAGAGCACGCTGACATCTACAAGCTGAGGATTCGGGTGCGCGGAAACCTGGAGTGGGCCCCGCCACGGCCGCAGATCATCTTCAATGTTCACCTGGCCCCAGCGTAAGGACCCGTGTGCCTGGGGGCTCTCAGGGAACCTGCCCTTCCCATCCCTTTCCCATCCACACCAAGAGTGCTTATCCTCTGGTTGCTGGGGTTTCCCTCCTCTGAGCCTGGTAAATCCACAGTGGTCACCACTGTGAGATGGTGAGATGGAGGCAGTGCCTGGGGTTAATGCCTTTGGGACATAGTGGGGCTTTTTCCCTTGAGTGTGTTGTCCATATAAACCTCCCAGGCCTGTGCTGGTACCCATCTTCTGGTGCCAGGTACCACCAGGGCTGGGTCATGCATGTTGTCTTCTGTGTCTGGGCAGGAGAAAGGTGGCTGTGGCCAAGCAGAATTACCGGTGTGCAGGCTGTGGCATCCGGACTGACCCTGGTGAGTACTGGAAGCCTGAACTGAGCTGGAGAGTGATGGGGAACTGCAAACAAGTGGGAAGATGCTGAGTGAGTGCGTGTTGGTAGAGCTCAGCATAAGGTCCCTAGAGCAGTGCTACACTGCCTTTGCCAGCTCTGCCTGCACATTGGTGTGCACCATCCACAGAGGAACCTTCTCTTCTAGGAGGTCACAGAGCTGATGGAGGCAAAGAGCAGCCAGCTTGTCCTTTAGAGAGCATTTCAGATGTTGACTCTTGTAAGGCAGTCTTATGTTGGGTCCTCAAACTCCCAGCAAATTCTGCAGCTGCAGAGCTCTTCCCTGAAGATGTAGGTAGATGTGGTTGCACGAGACTGGACTATTGGTCCCAAAGGCTTTTGCAGTCAGAAGGTGCTTGCAGACTCCAGTACTGAGCACTCTGGCCCACTTTCCTTGCTTGTGGGAAATGCTGAGCAGTGTTTGGAGTGCAGCAGAGGCCCTGCCTGGGCTGACCCTGCCTGTCTGCCTGCATTTGGCCAGATTACATCAAGCGGCTGCGGTACTGCGAGTACCTGGGCAAGTACTTCTGCCAGTGCTGCCACGAGAACGCCCAGACCGTCATCCCCAGCCGCATCCTGCGCAAGTGGGACTTCAGCAAGTACTACGTGAGCAACTTCTCCAAAGACCTGCTGAGTAAGATCTGGAGTGACCCACTCTTCAACGTGCAAGCTATCAACCCTGCCCTGTACCAGAAAGTGAAGGCTCTCAACCAAGTGAGGGTAAGACACTTTCTGTGCCTCCTGAGTGGAGTTTGGGTGAGGTGGATGGCAGCAAACTGGAAGCTGTATTTTGGGGAAGCTGGGGAAAAGCAGATATTTCAGTTTTAGAGGCTTAAAATCTCATCACTGTGTCTTTCTATTCACGTTTTCTGATTTCTTCAGTGGCATAGGAATGTCAAATTCATAGGAAAATCAAATAGGAATTTCTGGCTGGTATCCAGCTGGGCTTCAGTTTATCTCCTGGAGCACATGATGGTGGTTGTGCTCGCCTTGCCCTGTGTGATGTAAACACTTTGGAAACAGGGGAGCAGCAGCTGAGGAGCAGCAGCTATTTCAGCAGCACAGGGAATAGGACAGACCTGCCTGGGTGAGGACCATGCTCTGTTTACTGATTCTTTGTGCCCCTTCCTCTCCAGCTGCTGCGAATCCAGCTTTTCCACATGAAGAACATGTTCAAGACGTGCCGGCTGGCTAAAGAGTGAGTGCTGGGCTGCTCTGCTGTCCTGGTTCTGTCCCAGGGAACTTGCACTGGGAATCTGTGCAGCTTCTGCACTGAGCTCTGGCGAGAGAGGGGGCTGGAGGGGGAGAGAAGGCATAAGGAGTGAAGGGAGGGGTCTTACTGGAGTCACTTTGCTCTGAGCTCTGGTTTCTCTGTCCTTGCAGCCTCCTGGACTCCTTTGACACAGTGCCTGGCCACTTGACAGAGGATTTGCACCTCTACTCGCTGAGTGACTTCAGTGCCATCAAGAAAGGGGACCTGATGCCTTGCCTGACAGAGCTCCTGAAGGCAGGCAGCCTGCACATTGACAAGTGCATGGTAAGGCCTCCTCTCCTGCCTCCTGCATGGCTCTGGACCCTTGGGAGCAGGCTTTGCTGCAAAGATAACTGATGGAGAGGCTTTGGTGTGCAGAGCAGCCACCAAATTAACTGATTCAATGCTAACTGTTCCTGCCTGCTTCACAGAGCTCCTACCCAGCACAAATGGGGTATTTGCTACCCTGTTTTGGCTCTCCCCTGCCCCTGACACAGCTTGATTCAGCCTTCCTGTGCTCCATGCTGGGGAAGGGCTGTCCCACATGATTAGAGCAGGGCACTGTGGCCTGCTGTCCTGCTCTACTCTGCCTTCTGTCCTGCTTGCCAGGGAGATGAGCATTTAGCTGCTTTTTCCTCGTTGTTTTTCCTTCCAGCTGTGCCAAGCCAAAGGCTTCATCTGTGAGTTCTGCCAGAATGAGGACGATATCATCTTTCCCTTTGAGCTCAACAAATGCAAGACATGTGAAGGTGAGATACTGGGGAAAAACAGGGAGGGGACAGACCCTGGGGCCACCAAGGTCTGCTTCCAGTTAGAGTGGAATTTGTGTTAGCAAGAGGTACAGAGCTGTAGCCAGCCAGACCAGAGTGCCCCTATGCATGGCCTGTGTCTGCAATGTTACAACAGCAGCAGATAACCCTTGTCACAGTTATTGATGACATGGTAAAGCATGTAGGTCCCCTCCTGACCACGCTCTGTGCTGCCTGCCCTGGCAGCTGTGGGCAGTTGGGCTGTCACTGCAGGGAGCAGGTGTCTGGGAGCCCTGGTTTCCCTCCTGCTGCAGTTACAGGACAGGCTGCAGCCTGCATACAGCTCCCCTGCCCTGCTTGGATGGCTGGAGCTGAGCTTGCAGAGCAGAGAGAGCCTGAAGGCTTTGTCTCTGTGCCCTTCCTGCCTGCTAAGAAATCCCTAGGCCTCTTCAGGGACATCCTTGATAATGCCCAATATTAATGGCTGAGTAGAGCGTGGCCCTACATCTTGGGACCAGCCTCTGAACTGGCATAAAATAGCTCCTGACAACATGCAAGCCTTGGTTTGGCAGGTGCAGTGCCAGACAAAACTTGGGACCAAGTCACTGTTTCCTTGGAGTATCAGGAAAGCTTGGGGAGGGACGTTGTGCAGAGCAGAAATCCTCCCTCCTGTGCTTCCAAAGCTTCACGAGCTAGTGAGGGACCCGGGGTGTGAAGTGTCAGGCAGTCTGTCAGTCTGTCCAGCACTCAGCCATGCTCTCCCTCACAGAGTGCAAGGCCTGCTACCACAAGTCCTGCTTCAAGAGCAGCCGCTGCCCGCGGTGCGAGCGGCTCCAGGCGCGCAGGGAGCGGCTGGACAGGCAGCGCACGGAGCCCGACAGCTCGGACTGCGAGGGGGAGCTGCAGCTGCCACAGCCAGGGCCTGCCACGTGAGCACGAGCAGCCAAGGAGCAGATCATGGCTTTGTTATGTGCATGGCCTTCATCACAGAGACTGAGCCACACGGACTGGGGATGAGGACTGCTGGGAGGCCTGGAGCACTGTCCTGAAGGGATTTCTTTTCACAGTTCTGCTGGGCTGGGAAAGGAGCATATTCCACCGTGTGGATCTGCTCCAGGTACTGCTCCCACTCCCTGATGCCTTTGCTTGGAGAGCTGCTCCTGCCTGTCCTGCAGGCAGAACAGGGACCTTTACCTAGCAGTTGTTCATGCTGGACCCAGCAGGGCTGTGCTGTCCATCCCTGTGGGTCCCCTGAAGGGTCAGCACTCACTGCTCATCAGCTGTACACTGGGAAGCTCTGGTCACATCTGCTCCTTGGAGGAGGGAATCAGGTCTCAGTCCTGTGATCCTCCATTCTGCTGCTGGGGGTTGTGTGCATGGAGGGAGGGTGGGGTTTGGGGTTGGTTGTGTATTTAACAGCTCCCTTTCTCAAATGTGCTGTGGGACACTGCTGGAGAGCAGTTGCTCTCACTCCAGAATCAGAGCAGAGGACGTGGCAATGATGAAAATGCCAGATTTCTCTGTGCTGCAGAGGGACATTGCCCCTGGAGCAGCTGCACAAGTGGATGTGCTGATGGACTTTTGGCAGGCAGATCCCCATGGCTCCATAGAAATCTGCCTCCATGGGACATGGTGAGGCTTCTGACCCTACTTCCTCCTCATGCTGCCAGTTTGTCCTACCAGGGAGATACGTCCTCCTTTAAGGATGACATGGGACCTCACTCTGGTGGCACCAGAACCTGCCTTGTGTGGAGCTGCCTCTCTGCCTTTGACCTGTCAGGATGCAGGTGAAGGCTCATCCCTCCAGCTGCATCCCCAAGCCTCTGTTTAGCTGTGTGTTTTTCTTTTTTTAATCTGCTGGACTTGGTTTTATTTTTTTAATGTGATTGTTTGTATTTTTAACTCTGTGTTCCCCTCAAGGAGGTGCTGCTTGAAATGCCTTCTTAGAGGGCATGTGATCTGCTTGGGACTCACCAGTATAAAATCTCCAGGGCTATCCTGCTCCTGGTTCCTCACCCCTGGATGGAGCTGGTCCCCTCTCCCAGCAGGATCTCCTGCTTCCCTTGGGGCAGGAAGGGTCCCTGAGCCAGGCAAAGCTCTGAAGCTTCCCAGCTGTGCTGTGGTGGGATGGTCAGGCAGCCTGATTGCAGTGGGGATACCCAGGGGAGAGGGGTTTGGCACTGGGGTCCTGCCAAGGACTGGTTCCTCCCTGATGCACCTGTGTCACCTGGCACAAGTGACAGCTCTGCAGGGTCAGGGTCAGACCCAGTGGGACAAGGTGAGCTCTGTGCCCAGCTGAGGAGGTGCCTCTGCATCGTGGGGGGATGCTTTGGCCATGGCATGTGCAGCACCACCTGAGCACAGGTGGGATGTGGGGTCTTAGGAAGGATGGTGTGGCCTGTGTTATGTGCGAGGAGGGTGTTGAGGGACCAGAGAGCAATGCACTGGCAGGAGGCCTCAGGGGGCAGTGGCTCTTTCAGCACATGCCCTGATTCGAGGCTGGGACGTGACTTACAGGCTCTCCCTGTGGGGGTGGCAGGGCTGGGGAGAGGGGAAGAGGCTGGGTCCAGGAGATGTGGCTGCAGCCTTGCTGCTGAGGGCTGGGCTGCTGCATCTCTCCCCTGCCTGCAGCATCCTGATCAAGTCCTAAAAGCAGGGTTCAGCTCCCCACTGCCTCCCCTGGGGTTTTTACTGCCTTGTGTCTTGCTTCTGCTTGTTTTCCCCAGAAGAGCAGCTGCTCTTCTCACTGTCTCTGCAAGCCCTGGGGCTGCCAGATGCTGGTCTGCCTTGGTCTTGCCTGTCCCCAAGCCCAAGCCGAGCCCTCCTGCTGCTGCTTGGATCTGGGACCCCCTTCCTTGGAGTTGCCTCAGCAGCACACCTCCATCCACCCTATTTTGTTTGAAGCACTTTAATGTCATGGGACAGCAGCTGAGAGGCTGCCCAGATCCCTTTCTAAAAGCACTGAGTACTTTTTGAGAAGAGGGAAGGAATTCTGGCTCAGTTATGGTTTCCACCCTCCACCATGGACTGTGTGGAAGCAGCAGGACCCCCAAACCTGGCATAGGTCTCCAGGGCAAGCCTGTGCCCAGCACTGACACTGCTGCCCAGCACTGACCACTACAGCTAACACTGGAACTGGCCACGACAGGGAGCTCTGGGGGCTGCCCTGGCCCTCAACTGGAGCCCTCACAACGGGATTGTTATTGCACAGCACAGCAATTAAATGCCGTCCTTAATAAACGACGTTAATAAGGAGTCTGGTTGTGTTGTCACGTTGTTTCAGGTGGGGTAAAGGTGTGTATTCCACCTGGAGGTGATGGGGCAGGCAGGGAGTGCTGCTGAACAATGGAAGGGACAGCTCATGTAGCTGGTGATGCAGTCACTGGGAGGGGGTTATTGTCACTACCCCTTGACTAATTAATTTGGTTTGTGGCCTGCCCCTGCAAACTGCCCACTGGATTCAGGGCAGGAGGTGCAAGGCACTGAGTGAGGGGCTCTCTGTAATGTCTGTCCCCTTCCAGAGCCTGCTTTTGCTGCTGGCAGAGGGGCCCAGGGGCCTGGCCTTGGCTGCCCTGTCCATGCTTGCATCCCTATTCCAGGCCACCCAGCTCTCCCTTCACAGCAGTGTTGTGCACCTCCCCATAAACACCATCAACACAGGTTATAAAAACTGTAAACTTTAAAACTTAAAAAATGAGAGTCCAGCATTGGTTCCACAAAGAGCCTCTTCCTGGGAGCTTTTCCCTAGAAACACCCTGCTCAACCCAAATCTCAGCTGTGGTTACCAGCAGCAATGATGACTCGGGCTACTCCTGAGGCCTTGGTTGTAGAAAGGTTTCTAGCAGGCACAGGAATGCTGAGGATAGGCTCTCACAGCTGCCAGCAACCTTGTGCCAGTAGAAGGGCTCCAGCAGCTGCCCCAGTGTGACAACTTGAGCAGTGGGTGATGGCAAAGACCTGCAAAACCCTGGAGCTTGCTGCTGCTACAGGGAGCCCTTTGATATCCCAGGGTGACCCCTGCAAGCTGGCAGCTGGGCCAAGGCACATCTGCCCAGCCCAGAGGGTGTCACAGCTGGGAGTGTGTGGGGCTGTAGCGACGCTCAAACTGCTCCACGTCAAACTTGCGCTTGCAGCCGGCGTAGTTCATGTAGCGAATCTTGCCGAAGACCGGCCGCTCCGCCCAGCCCTGGTCGTGAATGCCACAGATGGACCACAGGCAGCCTGCCGGGCACAGGGACAGCGGAGTCAGCTCTCCCCCTTGCTCAGGGGCACCCAGAGAGCAAGGGGGATCTGAGTGCAAGGCAGGACGGGCTGGAGTTGCCTGCAGAGAGCCCCCACTGCAGCCCTGGCCACCCGAGCTAAGGCCTCCCACCCTGTGCCCCCAACCTGCAGCTTGCCTACGTATCCATTGGGGTCCCTCCCGTCCAGCTCGTAGCGGTCGTTGAGGTAGATGGCAAACTGCAGGGCCTCCTCAGGGGAGCGCGTCCACTCCAGGATCTTCTTGGCCCAGTACATCCGCAGGAAGCCGTGCATCTTGCCCTCCCGGACCATCTGCAGCTGCAGGGATGGAGACAGCCATGAGGGTCAGGCCATGGCAGGTCACCTCCATGCCTCAGAAAAAATCTCAGCATTTTGTGGGGAAGATGTAGGGCAGTACCTGGGCGGCGTTCCAGAGTGGGTCATGTGTGGTCCCCTGCTCCAGCTCCTGCAGACTGTACAGATAAGGCCTCTTGTCTTTGGCATGGACCTTCAGGGTGGTTTGTGCCCAGTCATAGGCACCTGTGAGCAAGAGATGAAGAGCAACACTGAGCAACCTGTTCTGCAGGGTGCTGAGAACCAGTCTACTGAGACCACTGTGCCCTGGAGGCACCAGTCTTGAAGAGGGCACTCGTCAGCTTCTGTCCTACCTCCAGAAGAGACCAAATGATGGGACATTAGTGCCCCCACAGCCCTTCTCCTAGCAGAACTGGGATTGCCAAGTTGGAGTGAGCAGCTGGGCACCCAGCATGGCCCACGTGACCCAGGATGTTACCCTGCACACTGTCGTAGTTCTCATTGTAGTAGCAGAAGTTTTCAGCCAGCTCCCGCCGCACCACAGCCTCCTCCACGAACGCATCCACCGAGTCCTTGTAACTGCGCCGCTGCTTCTGCACCTCCAGGATGGCTCTTTGGGTGGAAACCTGGCCTGGGGACATGGGGAAGCACCAAGTCAGGCTGCTGGTCCAAGCCACAGTGCTCAGTCCTGCTGCAGAGTGGGAAGCCTGGGACACTCACCGAAGTGAAGCCATGGGGAGAGGTTGCTGAGAGCCGCCTTGTTGGGATCATTCCTGTGGCTGCTGAAGGATTTCAGTCGCTCTGCAATGAAGGACTTGAGCACAGCCATCCCTGCAGCTGTGCCAGGGGTTGCCCACTCCACCTCCTTCACGGTGTGGTCCACCTGCAAGCTGGAATAACAGGCCTCCCAAGCAATGGGCTGGGCGGCAACCAAGCAGTGAGTGCATCTGCAGAATCTCTTCAGAGAGGGCTGCCCTGAATGTTATGTCCCCAACCAGCAAAGTCCCCAGTCCATGCCAGCCTCCTCCTTTTAACTAGCCCTCTGCATGGCAGAGATGTGGGAAATGAATGAATGAGGTGGGAACCTCCCTTTCCCCCAGGGCATCCTCATCTCCACACCATCTGTGTATGACCTCAGGCAGGTCACTGTCCTCATTCCCTGCCAACCCCTCCCAGGATCACAAAGGACTTATGAAACACTCTGAGACCTGCCCATGAATGGGCTTGAGTGTCTCCTACTGGTACCTCTGCTGGGCAGGAGGGCGGATGCGGGTGACGAACAACAGGGGGAAACTCAGTGAGGAACTCGGGAAGCTGAGCATGGATCTTGCCCCGGATGGTCCTGGCGCTGTACTCCTGCTTGGGGGAGGCAACCCAGCAGGGCACGATGTTGTGGGCATCAACCTGGCAGCAAAGCAGAGGAGAAGGGTGTGAGAAGCAAACAATCCTGGTGACACGACACATGTGCTCTCTGCTCAAGTCACTCTGGTGCACAAGACACAGGAGACAAGTTTGTCCCACATCTCACCAGCCAGTTTTCCATTCCCAGAGTGCTGGCACCCACCTGTGCAAACGGCACATCCTCTGGCAAGCGTTCCCTGACGTCCTCTACCCACTGCCGGGGGAGGCGGAGGGGACTGAAGTCTGTCACCAGCCCACCCACGCCATGCTCCGTCACAAACGCGGGCAGCACATCCTTGGCATAGCCCAGCAGCAAGTGGAAGGAGATGTTCAGCTCTGCACACTCCTGCAGCGACAGGGAAATGGCTGTGGGACAGTTCATGGCTCTGCAAAGCCCACCCAAGCAGCATCTGCTGAAGGGACGTATCTGCTGAAGGGATGGATCTGCCTCCCCCTTCCCCATTTGCCCTGTCCCACCCAGCACGGACATCCCCTGGCTGTACCTCTGCTACCTCCTGCAGGCCCCTCAGCATGAACCTGTAGTGGCGGATGGTGGCCTCCAGAAATTTGGGCACCAAGCAGAAGCAGACGTGCAGAGGCAGCTCCTGTTTGAGGGCCAGGCGCTGGGCGTAGAGGAAAGCCCAATTATCTGGGGAAAATACACAGGGCAGCGTCAGGATGGGGATGGGGCCTTCATAGGAAGTTTCCCCCCAGACCCCCCTATAGAGAGTGGGGCCAGCACCAAAGTTATCGAAGGAGGGACCAGCGCTTTTACTACCTCTGGGAGCTCCTTCCACCAGCCGGTTCTCACCTTGCACTCGCTGATCCCGGCACATCCAGTAAAGGATGCACCGAGCATCATCCTTCAGGTCCGAGCCCTGCGAGACAAGGCGAACCCGCTTTTTGTTGTACTTGAACTCTCGAACGGACGGGGCCGCCCTCCGCCGGGCCTCCTGTATCGCCTCCTCTGCCTCCGTCCTCCTCCGATTCACGCACGGCACCTCCGTGGCCTCGGCCTTCCGCTTCCCCCGCGCTCGCCGCATCCTCAGCGCCGCCCGGAGCAGCGTGGCTGCGCTGCCAGAGGAACACAGGCCGGACTGATTCCCGCGCTTCCCGGGAATCCCGGGCCCGGCCCGCCCCCAGAGCCCGGGGGATGCCGGTCCCCAGCCCGTGCTGCTCCTCGGCAACCGGGCAATAACGGTGTTACGGTCCCCGGCCCGATCCGCTCCTGGTGTCCATACCTGGGCTCCAGGTGCCGGTGCCGGTGCCGGTCCCCACTGGCAGCCACGCGGCCCGAGTGTTACACAAGCCGGGGCGGGCGCTGAGGCCGTGCCCACGGGCGTGGCCGTGTCCCGAGGGGCGCGGCTCCGCCACCGGCACCGCCCCCACACAGGGGCGCAGGTGCTGCTCCCATGGCCCCGGCGCGCCCAGGGCGCTGCACCTGCCCCGGGAGGGGTGTCCGTGCCCGCTGGTGCCTCCCCTCCGTCCGCCCGGGAACAAGGAAGCAGCTCCAGCTACCTCCAGCCATCACTCGGCAGCGTAGTTCCCTGCTGGCGCCTTCCCCACGCCCTGTGCCCTCGGGTCCCTCACCTTGCAAGGCCTTGGGGCGCTGGCTTTGGACATGACTCGGGGCACGGCAGGGCTGCCCCTGCTGCTGCTGAGCCTCGCTGTGCTGGATCTCTCACTGGGTAAGGGCTCAGCGGTGTGAGGAGCTATCCATGGGGTGGGGGGTGAGTGAGGAGCGTCGTACTCCAGGGTGGGGGGTAGCCCTGGGGTGACTTTGCTCACAGAGGTGAAACACTTTGTGTGCTGCTTGCTTTCCAACATCCCTGTCCTAGTGAACAAACAGGGAACTTTATAGAACACAAGAAACAAGCTCTATTTCTTTTGCCTCTGATGTGGGTCTCCATCTGGGAAGAGAAGACCTTAGGCTCAGCTGGACCCCTTGCTGAGCCTCGGTCCTTGCTGGGCTCATTGCTTTTGCTGCAATCTGCCCAGTAGGCCCTGCCCAGATGGCAACCTCACTGGGAGGTACTAGGCCTGGAGACCTTCAAATGCCATCCCAACATTTGCACTTGATGCAAAGTAAGGGCAGTGTTGAGTGGAGCACTGGGAATAAACCTGCAGCTTGTACCTCCTGAGAGCCTTGACCTGCAGCTATAGATCCCCTCCTCCTGCACCCCTCAACTCCCTCCCAGAGCTTTTGTGGGTTGCAACAGGTCCCTCATGGACATGCCCTGAGCTGCAAGCTGGGGTTTGTTCCTTTGTGGGGCTAGTTCCACAAAGCACTTCCCCATTGCCATTATTTACACCCACTGCTATCAGTTCCTGACTATCTGCAGCACAGAGGGTTTGTTTAAACTGCTGCTGCTGCACTTCCAGACTGTCTCACGGTCACCAGTTCCTGCTTGGCTCTTCCTGTCAGACGGGTTTGTCTGACTTCCTCCAGGGACCAGTGAAGATGGGGGAATGGGTCTGAGAACTGGTGCCCAGAGGAGTTTCTGCCCTGAAACCAGCAGTGGCCATGGCTTGTTCCTGCTTTGTCAGGCTGGGATTTATGTGGTCTGCCTGGCTGATTGTCACGTTGCTGTTCAGGGAATCCACGTGCTTGGTCCATGCAGGACAGGGAATCCCCACTCCTGATGATCCATGGCTGATGCAAGACTTGGGCAGTTCATGGTGGCAGTAATATTGCACCATTCCCAGCACAGCCGTGGTCCCAGCCTTTCACTGCCAGCCCTTGTGTGCTATCTCCCACCTCTTTGCAGGGACCACTGTCAAAGATAAGACAAACCCTACATCTCTGCCTCTCCCAAATTCCTTGACACCCACAGAGACCAGGGCACCACTGTCCAACACCAGCTCAAGCACTGCAGCCACCTTCTCTTCCTCTCATCCTGCAACCTTCACCCCGGAGATGCCAATGGATGCCTTCACACCCAGTGCTTCTACAGCTCAGCAGAGCAGCCTGGCAGCCTCCAACATCACCACACCACAGGCAAGGGGCAGCAGAGCTGACAGTGCTCCTGGGTCACCTGGGCTGGCACCCAGCACCAGCACCACCCCAGCAGGGCTGGAAACCACAACCAGCAATACCCCAGCAGGGCTGGCACCCACCAGCACCAGCAGTACCTCAGCAGAGCTGGGGCTCACGACCACCAGCACCACCCCAGCAGGGCTGGAACCCAGCACCAGCACCACCCCAGCAGGGCTGGCACCCACCACCAGCACCACCTCAGCAGGACTGGAACCCAGCACCAGCACCACCCATGCAGGGCTGGGGCTCACCACCACCAGCAAGCCACCTCCAACCTCCACGGCCATGACACCCAGCTATGACAAGAGTACCGCTGTCACGTCTGTGGGGACCAGCACAGCCCTGGCTGCCAGCTCATTTGGAGTTGAAACGAGCATGCTGCCTCCCTCCACCTCTGCTCTTCTCTCCTCCACTGGGCTGGGCACCACGCTTGGCACCAGCCCCCACCAAGAGCCAGCCATGACCACACTGCTTGGCAGCACATCCCCAGGGACCAGCACCACCTCTGCTTCCACCACGGCAGAAGTGACAGACACTTCAGATGGGCCCTTGACGACCCCATCAGACACCATGACCTCCCTTGGTACCACCACAGAGGTCCCTGGGACCACCCCTGGTACTTCCACCCCAATAGAACCAGAGACCTCCAGTGACACTGCAGGTGAGTGCAGCCACAGGGCACCCGGAGGGCAGGATCAGGTGGTAAATCCCCACAGGATCTCCCATCTTGCTCAGCCAAGCACTTGGCTTCTTCCCCCAGGGGCCACCTGGTCTCCAGGCTCTGCAGGGCAGTGGCTGGGTGCCGGGGTGGGACCTGTGCTGTGGTGTGACAGTACTGCTGTGTGGCTGTGCCCCCAACACTGAGCCTGTGTGTACACACCCCCATGGGGACAATCTGTGTACCCTGTACCCCAAGGAGTGTGATGTACCCCTGCAGTCCCCCAGGCAGCTGTCCCCTGGCAGTGCAGCTTTCTGGGCACCTGTGTCCTGTCACTGTGGCTGTGTCCTGGTGGCTGTTGCAGGAGCCTTTATCCTGGCACTGCAGATGTGCTCTGGTGACAGCCCACCCCGTGCACCTCAGCCAGAACAGGGACACTGTACCCTGCCCCAGTACCCCTTGCCATGCACACATTCCTGGTGTCCCTGTACCCCAGCAGAGCCCCTGTATCCTCACAGAGTACCTGCAGCACCCTGGCCCCGTGCCTGTGCAGTGAGAGCCTCTCATCAGAGTGCCAGCACCCTGGTGGTGCCCTCTGTGTGCCTGTGCCCTGGCAGTGCCCCCATGCAGCTGCTCAGCAGCAGGGTGGCCATGCCCTGACAGTCCTCCAGCATGCCTGCCTGCCTGTGGAATGCCATACCTGGCCCAGGGCCTGCTCTTGTCCCTGAGCCCAGAAGGAGGAAGCAGCCCCAGCCGTGCTCCTGGGCCGTGCTGTGACATGGGGAAGTGATGCCTGCACAGACAGCCCAGGGGACAAACCCTCAGCCTGGGGCACGCCCTTCCTGAGCTGTGTGCCTGTTCCCTGGCCGGCTCCTCGGCTCACACAGAGCTGGCTGTTGTCTCCTGAGGGCGTTGGTGCCGGGAGCCAGCACCAAACATCACCCCCGCGGCGGAGCGCGGGGTTCCGGGCAGCCTGGAGCATTCCTGGGCTCTTTCCCGTTGTCACCCTCCCCTCAGCAGGCAGAGGACGGCCACAGGAGCCAGGTCTGTAGTAGTGGTGGCCTTGGTGGCCTGTCCTGCCCACTTTTTGTGGCTGTTCTGGGTCCAGCCTTGCCGTTGATGTTTGCTGGGCACTGCACCAGTCCCTGGGAACGTCCGTGCCAGGTGGAAGCCGCTGCCTCGCTGCCAGCACCTGGAGGGTGAAAGGACCCAGCTGGATGCTCCTGCTCTGCTGGGTGAAGGAGACCTGGAAACTCCAGTGCTGGGGCTGTGGGGAGCACTCAGAGCAGTGCCCGTGGGGGTTTGTCAGCTCCTGCTCACCTGGACATGGCTGGGCAGAGAGGAGGGCTGGCCCTGCCCTTGCTCTGGCCCCTGCTGCTGCTGCTGCTGCTGAGCCTCACCTGCCTCTCCGTGCTGCACCTGGCTCTGGGTAAGGGCTCAGTGGGCTGCAGTGCTCTCTGCGGGGTGGGTGGTGAGTGGGGAGCATCATTCCCAGCATGGAGGGGTGGCGCCTCTGGGGTGCAGGGGGCTGGGATGCTGTGGGGCTGTTTCCTGCTTCTTAAATGGGAAGCAGAGGTGGACTTGCTGCTTCTCCCTTTGTGAGGATGAGGCCCTTCTGTGCAGATGCTCACCTGGCAAGGGCTAGGGTCAGACCTTTGCCCTTCTCTGTATTTTTGTTTAACTAGCTGCTGTGTGCAGAGAGGGCCTGACTGCCAGGGGAAGTTTCTGGCTGGCTTGGCTGAAAGCAGATGGCAGCTTGTGTTTCAGTTTCGCATTCTCATGCAAGCAGAGCCCCAGACTCACTGGGTTTGTGCTGGGATCACTGGGGAATCCAGTCTGGTATCCCAAAGCCACCCCCTCACAGACCCCCCTGGACAAAGGTCCAGGTAGCCAGGCTGTCCTGCCTGTCCTGTGGAGAGGGTTACAGATCCCTGGGCTTTTCTGGGGACAGCACACTGCTCTGGTACAGTGCACAGTGGAAGAGAGGACATTCCTCCTGTGCCCCACCCCCTCCCTCCCTCCCAGAGCTTTTGTGGGTCACAGCACGTCTGCTCATCCTGAGCTGCAGGCTGGGATCTGTTCCTTTGTGGGGCTGCTTCCCCCCTGCCATTATTTACACCCACTGCTATCAGTTCCTGACTATCTGCAGCACAGAGGGTTTGTTTAAACTGCTGCTGCTGCACTTCCAGACTGTCTCAGGTCACCAGTTCCTGCTTGGCTCTTCCTGTCAGACGGGTTTGTCTGACTTCCTCCAGGGACCAGTGAAGATGGGGGAATGGGTCTGAGAACTGGTGCCCAGAGGAGTTTCTGCCCTGAAACCAGCAGTGGCCATGGCTTGTTCCTGCTTTGTCAGGCTGGGGATTTATGTGGTCAGCCTGGCTGATACCCATTGAAGAGATCTGTGTGTTTGATCCATGCAGGACAGTGAGCTCCCCCTGCCAATGCTCCATGGCTGATGCAGCTCTGAGTTCCTGGGGTTGCTCACTGTGCTGGTGATGCTGCACCATGCTCAGCACAGCCATGGACCCAGCCCTTCACCAGCAACCCTTGTGCATCTCATTGTCCCCACTCTTTGCAGAGACCACTGTCCTGGGTGTGACAGCAACTGTGTCCCCAGCTCTCCCAACCTCCTCAGCACCCATGGAGAGCTCAACACTGTTGCCTTCCACTGACTCCAGCACCACAGCCACCCTCCTTTCCTCCAGCCCTGAAACAGAAGCCTCCACCCCAGAGGAGTCCAGCACATCCACAGAGACTGAAAACACCTCACCTCCCACTGTGCTTCCTCCCTCCACAACTACAGAAGATTCATCTGAATCTACAGAAGAGACCTTGGCAACCCTGGCAGACACCACAGCCAGCCCTGTTATCAGCACATCAGACCCCATGGGTACTCCCAGCTACCCAGACAGGACCACTCCTGACATCTTCCCCTCAACTGTGGAGTTGACTCCAGGTACCCTGACAGTGTCTGGGACTCCCAGTGCAGCTGGGTGGGTTCAGCTGGGGGGCACCTGAAGGCAGGGACATGGTCAGGGTGACAAATCCCCATAGGAATTCCATGTACTTGGGTGGCTTCACACAGGTGGCTTCACCCAGGCCTGTCCCCAGCTGCAGGAGCATCCTGTACCCCTGCAGACAGACAGCACTAACCTATCATTGCTTTGCCCAGGCACTGAGCCCTCTTCCCCTGCCTCCAGCTCAGCCCAGACCTCAGAGGCTGCTGCCCTCAGCACACCTACAGCCCTGCCAACGCTGCTGCCAACCTGCCCCTCTGCCTCACCCAACACCAGTAAGTGCAGTGCCCGTGGGCAGCATCAGTGCTTGGGGCCATGCAGGGGGCCCTGGAGCCCCACTGCTCTTGCTGTGCTCTCAGTGTGGGGGTGCTGGTACTTTGGGGTACATGGGGTTGCTGTACAGTGAGAGGCTTGTTCTGGCAGTGCAGTGTGTCCATGACACAATTCACCTGGGAGGAAGTTCCATGTCTGTGCCAGCAACCCTGGGGAGAGACCCCCAGGTCCTCTGGCACAGCCCAGGGTTCAAGGGCAATAACCAGAATCCTGTTTTTAACCCCCAGGTGCTTCTCACCTGTTTCTGTCGCTGAGGTTGACCACCCCTCTGGACCTGGGGAACACCACGGTGCAGGAGCTGCTGTTGTCCAAGGTGAGGTGTGCAGGAGGAGATCCTGCATCTGCCAGCTGTGGTTCCCTCAGTCAGGGAGGGGAATGGCTGCATCTTGCATGGAATGTCAGCCAGAGCCCTTTCAGGTGAAGGGGACACCCTCCTCTGGCTGCCATAGTCCAGGATCAGGCCCTTTCTCTGTGGGGACAGGGGGAGGGAGATGTCTGGCACAGTTTGATGGCTGTTCTTTCCCCCCAGCTCCGTGAGGACCTGCAGACAGCGTTCCCATGTGCTGGCCTGTCACTGGCATGGCGAGGGAAGAGGAGGACTTGACTGCTGCCCCTCACCTGGACTGCCAAGCACCTGCTCCCAGCTCCTCACTCCATGGTGGTGCAGGCCCCTGGGGAATCCCATACAGCTCCTCTTGAACCTGGGGCTTCCTGTCCTTCACTCTGTACCCCCAGTCCCCTCCTGACCCTTCCCACAGCCTGTCTGAAGAGCCTGAGCCCTCTCACCACCCTGCTCCAGACCAGGTTCCCCCTCCAGCTCTGCTGGGGACTGGGAGAAGGGGACCCTATGGAACTGGGCTTTTACATCTGGGACTGAGCTGCCTCAGCCGTCAAAGCCACCCTGGGGACAGAGGAATGAGAGGAAGGAGACCTGAAGCCCCCAGTACTGCTGTGCCCAAGGCTCACCTGTGGCATTGCTGACAGAGGATGACACCCATGCCGGGCAGTAAATAGAAATTCCATGTTTTCTGTGTTGAAGTGATGGCTTCTTTATTTTCCAAGTTGTCTTTCCCAGTTTTCAGCTTTGCCATCTATTGGAGGTACTGATGAGGAAAAGTGAGTCCCCAGAGCTCTGTGTGGAGAGACGGGCTCAGTGCTGTCCCCTCCCACCAGGGGCTGCTGCAGACATTCCCAAGGATGGCTCGGCCCCGGCAGACTGGTGGTCTCTGCTCTGGAGCTGTCTGCCCCAAAACACCCCACAGCTGCAGGGGCAGCACTGTGGGGCTGTGGAAATCCCGTGGGCTGTGCTCCTTCCCTGTTTTTTCCAGTCCCCAACTAAGGAGACGCTGTAACATCTGACCCCCTGCAGCAAAGTCATTTATTAACTGATTAATTAGCCAGATAAAATCCAACTGAAGCAATTATTAGCCTTAGCAAGCCACCTCTCCTGGAGATTGAAAACTGAAATAATTAGCAAAATAGCCTCGTTGCGTGTCAGGGGTTGTTTTTGGCTGATCCCTGCTCCTCCCTGGCAGCGCTCACTGCTCAGGGAGGGCTGGGAGGGGGCGTGTGGGGCTGTGGGATTCCTAACCTGGGGACTTCTCTCAGGCTGCCTGGATTGTCAGCTGGCTGGGAAGGAGCCAGCAGCTGGACAGGATGGGGAGAGACACCGTGGGGTCACCCAGCTGCCTGCCAGTTCACAGGGCCTGGGAGAGGCTGTGCCCAGGCAGCTTGTCAGGATGCTCCCATTTGGGGTGCCTCTTGCGTCCCAGGGTGGCCCCTTTGCTCTTTAGGATGCTGCCTGGCTTTTGTGGGCTCCTTGGACCCTTTGGGGCTGAGAGATGTCCCTTGGCAGCTGGGCAAGGAGCTGGGGAGCAGGGCAAAGCCTGCTGGAAGGAGCCCCCGTGCTGGCTGCCTGGTAGGGTGCTGGGAAAGAAATCCTTGTGGTCTGCCTACGCCTTGGAGCCGGGCCAGGAGTCCTCCCACGGCGCGTCCCACTGGGCTGTTTGCTCCGGCTGCTGAATCCATAACTTCAGACCCCAGGACATGGCCGGGTGCCAGGGCCGGGGTAATGGAGCCAAACTGCGTCACAAAGGGAGGAAAAGGTCCTGAAGTGCTGGGATGAAAAGGTGACCAGGGTACTCACTGTTCCCTGCTGGCACAGCCGCCTTCCACCGCGGTCACGGGGGGGAGGAGATGCTCTGGACCCCCTGTCACCAGCCTGGGAGGGAGAAGAGGGGCACAGAGGGAGGATGTGGCTCCCTTGGAGGGGTGTCCCTGCCCTGGCAGTGGTGGCACAGAGCTCTGACAAGCCCCTGACACTGCCCTACTCTCTGTGCCTGCTGTCCTTGAGGTGCCACCTTCACCCTGTGGCTGCTGACCTGCCACAGACTGCTGCCCAGAGGGGCTTGGGAGGCTGGATCCAAGTCCTGCTGCTTTCCCAGTCCACAACAGAGTTCTCAGCCTCTTTACACTGCAATCTCTCAGCATTGTCCAAAGGAACAAATCTCGTGCCCAAGATGATGTCACCTTCAGAGGACCTGGCAGCATCATGGGGCATGTCTCGAGACACCCTGTGACTCAGGTGTCCCTTCCAGTGTCCCCCTTCCCTTCACCCTTGCTGATGGCTGTAGCCCAACTCCCACTCTTTGGCAGGAGGGTGTTGCAACACACCCAGCATGCCAAGTCATCCAGAACCTGTGGGGTTGATGGATAACCCGGTTTCCCCCATTGCCACCCCTGAGCCCTCTCCCAGTGCCCTTGCCAGGAGGCTGGAGGGGAGCCAGTGGGAGATGCTGTGTTCTCCACAGGACTGGAACAACCAGCCCATTAATTCCAGGAAAGCTGATAAGGCACTGTGCTGGGCCATGCTCTGCCATGCTGGATGGGGCAGAGCCCCTGGCTGCTGGGATTCATGGAATTGCCCCCTGGCCACAGGCTCCTGAAGGGCTCCAGTGCCCACATGACGCTTTGGTCTTTGGTAACGGGGGGATTAATGACTTTTACTGGAACCAGCACTTTTCCAGGACCTTGGTTTCAGATACAGCAAAAGGATCAATAAGAAGCCCCTTCCCAGAGTGGTAACAGGGCACTGTCCTCAAGATGAGGCATCCCTTGGTGGCTCTGCGCTTTCTTGGGAGGGTGTGCCAGTGCCTGAGCAGAGGGATGAGTGTTGTTTGTCAGCCCTGTCACTCTGCTGGGAGACGGGCATTTCTGGGGCACAGCTTGGGCAGCAGTGGCAGGCACAAGGGTCTCCAGGCAGTGCTGGCCTCTGTGGAGCACAGATAGGAGCTTGCAGGCACAAGGGTCTCCAGGCAGTGCTGGCCTCTGTGGAGCACAGACAGGAGCTTGCAGGCACAAGGGTCTCCAGGCAGTGCTGGCCTCTGTGGAGCACAGATAGGAGCTTGCAGGCACAAGGGTCTCCAGGCAGTGCTGGCCTCTGTGGAGCACAGACAGGAGCTTGCAGGCACAAGGGTCTCCAGGCAGTGCTGGCCTCTGTGGAGCACAGATAGGAGCTTGCAGGCAGGCTGGGGCCAGCCCTTGCTTCAGCTGAGGTGTTTTCCTCTATGCTGAGCAGCATGTTTGCAACAATCCCTGTGGTTCCCACCACATTTTCCACCTCAAACACCATCTGGAGCAACACTCCCCAGCGTCAGCATGTATTCCCCGTTGGGGTTGCTCCCCTAAGTGATCCAGCATCGTCAGCACGGGCAGGAGCCACTCTCCCACGGCAGCTTTACATCTCCAAGCCTCCATCAGCCCTGGTGTGCTCATTGCTCAGGTGGTCCCGGATGGGTCAGTCACCCCCAGACCTGCAGGGCTGGTTGTCAGACCCCCAGTGCAGTGTCCCCCCGGTGCAGTGTCCCCCCGGTGCACACCTGCGGTGGCATTTGGGTGGGCGGGTGCTCGGTTCCAGGTGAGCGAGCTCCCGGTTTATGGTCTGTGCGCGGTTCCCCTGCCGGGGGTGCTGCGGGGGTTTCACAGGACGGGTTTGCTCAGCCATGACTCGGCCTCCCCCGGCGTTTCCCCATCCGCAGTGCCCGCTGCTGGCTCCAGGTGTCACTTGAGTGCTGCCTGTCCGGCTCCAGCGGGACACCGTGTACCACCTAACACCCCTCATAACACTTTGCAGGAGCTGCCCGGGGGCATTTCTGGTTAAGAAGTGTTTAATTTACTACAAAACCATGTAGTGGTGGGAGTTTGCATAATGCTGTTCACAAGGGAGCTGGCAGCAGTGTTCAAGGGGGCGTGCAGGAATTGCTGCTCCAGGAGGAGGAGGGGGGTGAGACAGAGGGGTGAAGTGACTGAGGGGATCCCCACAGCAGGGAAGGGGGTGTGGGTCTGTTCGTTTTCCTGCTCCATCCCCTGAGGATGCTGGTCCAACCTTGCAGAGAAGCTTCCCTGGACCATTTACCCCCTCCCAGCACCCCAGCACTGCTGTGCCCAGCCTGAGGTGCAGGTTTCAAACCCCGCTGGGGTGTGCTGCGGCTCTGAAGAGGGATCCCCAGTGCTCCCAGTTGCAGCTGAGCACTGTGGAGCTCAACTGACACCCCAGGGCCTCGCCCCAGCCATGCTTCTCCCTGCTTCATAACCTGCCTCTGCTCCAGAGGAGTCAAGTGGAGACCTTAGTCCTGCCTTGTTCTGGGCTGAGACATGGCTCAGCTGGTGATTTTAGTGTCCATGGTGTCCTCACAGGCATGGTGACACCAGCTGGCACTGCCTTGTCACCACCACACACTGCTCTGTGGCACCATACCCTGCATGTGGAGCAGGGTCTATGGGGTCTGTGGGGTGACTGCCATGGGAACAGGCTGTGTGGGATCAGTGGGGAGACTGCCATGGGAACAGGCTGTGTGGGATCAACGGGGTGACTGCCATGGGGAACAGGCTGTGTGGGATCAGTGGGGTGACTGCCATGGGGAACAGGCTGTGTGGGATCAGTGGGGTGACTGCCATGGGAACAGGCTGCATGGCATCAGTGGGGTGACTGCCATGGGAACAGGCTGTGTGGGATCAGTGGGGTGACTGCCATGGGAACAGGCTGCGTGGCATCAGTGGGGTGACTGCCATGGGAACAGGCTGTGTGGGATCAGTGGGGTGACTGCCATGGGAACAGGCTGTGTGGGATCAACGGGGTGACTGCCATGGGAACAGGCTGTGTGGGATCAGTGGGGTGACTGCCATGGGAACAGGCTGTGTGGGATCAACGGGGTGACTGCCATGGGAACAGGCTGTGTGGGATCAGTGGGGTGACTGCCATGGGGAACAGGCTGTGTGGGATCAGTGGGGTGACTGCCATGGGGAACAGGCTGCGTGGGATCAGTGGGGTGACTGCCATGGGGAACAGGCTGCGTGGGATCAGTGGGGTGACTGCCATGCCCCTGTTGGCAGTGCCACACACGGTTCTGGGCTCAGCTTCATCTCCTGGTGCTGGCAGCCCAGGGAGCTGCACCAGGCTGAGCCCAGGTCCCTGGGGAGATGTGGGTCCCTGCAGGGTGGGCTTTGGGTACCCCCAGCCCATGCCCAGCTGAGCAGGGCATCCAGTCCCTGGGCAGGGGAGGACTCCACCGGAAGGGAAGGGTGACAGGGACATTGGAGGGAAGGGACCGGGGGCGGGAGAGGACGTCCCCAACCTGCCTCCTCCTGCCATCCCTATAAATGGGAGGGAGCAGGAGCAGGAGCACCTGTGGGACTCCAGCTCTGCAGGAGAGGCAGGCAGGGAGGGACGGAGGGAGCTGCTCCCTGCTGCTTTCTCCTCCCTTTGAGCTTCCTGGTGCTCTACCTGTGTGGAGGCCTGAGGAATGGGGACCAGGGCATGGACGCTCTCCACGCTGCTGGGATGCTGCGCATGGATTCTGCACGGTATGTCCTGTATTCTTCTGCTAGCCCATGTGCTCCCTGAGCCCTGCCACGGTGCAGCAGGTACTCTGTGAGATGCTTTTCTCTCCTGGCTGTACTGGAAACTCC